TGGTGATAATGACAGTGATAGTGATAATATATCTGTGATGCATAACAGTGTTCGTTACTCTGAACTTCATTGTCAAACAGACAAGAGTATTCAACGACTTTGTCTTGGTTGAGGAACAGTGTATATATATATATATATGTATAATAAAGGGATTATTATTATTACTGTCACAACAGTGGTCTCCGCTCAGATGTTTGTTTATGGAAGACATGTAAATATGTATATTTGTGTATATATTTATACTTTTGAATATTCCTGTCCCTATTATTATTCTTATTATTTTTGATAATTTACTGAAATAAATTTGTAAAATATTTTTCAAATAATTGAATTACTCATTTTGGTTCTCTAAGCTGGATGGCGTCCTTGCAAGGCTTTCATTGCTTTAATCTAGGCAACATCTTCAGGGCATACTTCAGTTTGAAGTGTGAGTTTTCTAAATTTCTCCACAAGTTTATGGTGACCTTGAGCGTGATTGGTTGCTCTTGTCCGTTTTCACACATAGTCTAGTCTACTTGCATTGGTATTGTGATTGTTTCCTTGACTTGAAGTCTGACTCTTTGTGCATGAGAACTTCTTATGGATTAGTAAATATTATCCGTGTCAATGTGCCTATTGATTACCGATTTACTAGAATACCAGGCCTCTAGAAATTCTCTAGCATTCTTGGTGTTTCCTTTGTCTAATATTTGAACTTTATCCCAATAGAATTGGTGTCCGTGGCTCTCTGTATGCATCGCCTATACACTAAGCTGTATCGATTTGATGAGCCTGAAGATAGGACGACGAAATGCTCATCCTTAGTGTATGTTCAATGCATCCATCTCCTCTGCCTTCTGAGTATTTGTTGAGTGATAGGATGTTGGTTTCTTGGTTGGTTCGTCGCCCTTCAGAGTTCCTTTTTGCTTATGCTTTTTAAACAACCGGCCATTTAATTTTCAGTATGGTGGACACAGTGAAGTGGGCAGGTGTTGATGGAAACCACCTGCATTAGCCTGTTGGAAATGCTTTTCTTAACGATTGTGGCAAGTGGAAGCACTAACTGACTTTATATTCGTGTTGAAAGTCCAAACAGTGGTGTTACAGCCATCACCAGATAACTACTTAGACTTATCAGGAAAATAGGTGGCAAAAGGAAATGATAAGTGAAAGAATCTCCGAGGAAAATGCCACCCTAATTAGCTCTCAGTATAAACGACTGGAACACTAGAAGAAACATTTTGAGGAGCAATTTAACCGGCCTGTGGACACGCACGCTCAACTTGCTGACCATCAAACACCTTCCTGGTAAGCCGTCACTAACTGAGGTTACAAAAACCACCTCTAATCTGAAACGAGGCTTACCACTAATCCCCCAATTTCTGTTTAATTTAATCATAGATGTACTAAGAGAGGAACTGACTAACTTTATCTGACTTCAGTGACTCAGGGATTTGACTTGTTACCACCAGGGAATAACCTCGTTGACTTATAATAGAAGGAAAGGCGTTCAGTGAGAGAGTAACGCTTTTTGGCGTTATACATTCTCAGGTTGTACAATCTCGCATATACGTATATAGTAAATTATCCTTGCAACAAAAGAAATATTTCCAAAGATGTATCATTAGAACTGTAAATTCTAGATAACAAATTACTTAATATAGAAAGTGTTAATCGGTCAGAAACCAGAATAGAATTAAGTAATTTGAGTGACACAATGTAATTGACGCGGTTGAGTAGAGGAGTTCAACAAGAATTTGAGTGGATGGCTGAATTTCGAATAACTTTCTGTACGAAACCACGTACTAATGGACTTAACCCTAACTTACTTCAGAGACTCAGGGATTGACTTGCTACCAGGGAAGAATCTCGTTGACTTAGAGTATGCAGACGATAAAGTCCTTCTAGGTGAGGACGCTGACAAAATGCAGGGTCTTCTGAACACCTTGAGCAGCAATCTTCGTATTTTTGGCATGCGTTTCGCCCCTGTAAAATGTAAGATGACGTTGCAGGATTGTACTATACCGACCCCTAGATTAGAAATAGGAAGTGAAGTGGTAGAGCAGGTTGACTGCTTCACTTACTTGGGAGGTATCATCAGCCAGTGCCAACGGGTTGATCTCTGACGAAATCCCAGCACCAATACAGAGGGCTAGTTTCGCATATGCCAGTTTAAGCCTTCTCTGGCTTAGTAGACGTGATATCCCGCTGGCTATCGACCAAAGGGCGTGTGTACTGCTCAGCAGTTCGCTCCGTCCTCCTTTACGGCTGTGAGACCTGGCCATTGAGAGTGGAGGACATGAAAAGTCTGACTAGCTGTCTTTGATCATAGGTGTCTATCTCCCGTGTGAAGTGGTATAATAAGGTGAGCAATATTGAGGTTAGGCTTATGTCGAGTGCTAGGTAAAGAGGGGAAATCAGTCGACGAGACTGTGAAGCTACATTGACTGAGATGGTAGGGACATGTGTTACGTATGCCTAGTCATCGCCTTCCTCGACGGGCAATGTTAGCTGATATGGGGTCAGGCTGGAAAAGAGCCAGCGGCGGTCAAACGAAAACATGGCACCAGTCAATGAAATCTACAACAGTTAGTCTAAGCCACGTAGGAAGGTGTAGACTTCCTGGTTGGGGTCCTCGGGACGGTAAAAACCAATGGTTGGAAACAATTGGTGACATGGCTCAAAATCGTTCTCAATGGCTGGTGCAGATGCATCCACTCCTTGTGACTTATGATTTCCAATTAAACTTTTGTTCTCCGTTAATACTATTCCTTTGTCTCACACCTCTGTTTACTATCTATATTATGCATGTCTCCTTCCTTCTCTTGCTTTGTGTGCTACATGGAGTTTGGTGACTTGAACTGCCGCACATATGTGCAAAGTTCTATGTCGAAAACAAAGAAGAAGAAAGAAAGACGAAACCACTGTTTCACATGAACGTGTGCGTCGATGGCATAGTGGTTAGGACTCTCGCTGACCATGCATATGGTCCGGGGTTCGATCCCCTGCCGACGCACACCTGATATCAATGGTCGGCCTGCAAAATTTGGGCTACCGATATCACATGCTGAAAATTCCATACTTGTACCAAAAATGCGGTGTGGAATCAAGCTGTAATGAAAAAAAGGATAAGCTACCAGTGTTGGCCTGTCTACCGATTCACCTGCTCGTGTGGAGCCAGGTATGTCGGCTGTAGCCAGCGTTTGCTATCCATACGTATCAGGGAACACTTACCCTCATAGTTTTATAAAGGAGAAAAAAGATCCTCCCGCAGCTCTATCCTGGGATTGAATCTGGCCACCAAGCTAACCGAAAAAATAACTTTTGGGTTATCTACAGAATACATTGGAATCTTGCTTTAAAGGGGGTACGAATCAAACCGCAGAAGCAATGTCAGTTCACATGTTAACTCCTGAACTCTGCATACAGAGGAAGAAATTTGTACAGTCATCGAATCCACAATGAACCTGATCTGTCTGAACACTAAATACCTAATTTTTGTTTCTTAATTATACTATTTTCTTGCCTCACCCCCCTACTATTAAATTTGTACCGCTTATTACCAATGTTGTTAACTTGGCTGTCGTTCAGTTTTAGTTGAACTCCCCTACTCAATTACGTCAATTATATTGCGCCACTTAATTTACTTATTTTGGAGTAAACACGAGTCAGACAAAGGTGCTTATTATCACCAATGATATTCCTAATTGTGGTGGACTGGATTATGCGTCAGAAAACGTGAAGACAGGGATACCCTGGACCGACGTGAAGAACCTAGAAGACCTGGATTTCGCGCGTGGATGATTTATGTTTGATGTCACACAAAATCGAAGACTTACAAGCGAAAACCGACAAACTGGTCGAAGAAGCAGCAAAGACAGGACTCCAGGTGAACATAGACAAGACGGAGGTTATAAAAATAACCAACCAACAACAGCAGCAACATCCAGCGCCAATCACCATCAACGGGAGGGATTTGAAAGAGGTTACTTCGTTCACTTATCTAGGGAGCATTGTCTCAACTACAGGAGGAACGGACGAAGATGTCAAATCGAGAATCGGGAAGGCGAGAAACACATTCATCAACCTGAAACCAATCTGGAAATCTTCGTCACTCACCATCAACAACAAAATTCGGATTTTCAATACAAACGTCAAGTCAGTTTTGCTATACGGATCAGAAACTTGGCGGGTCGCCAAGAATATTTTCAACAGGTTGCAAACCTTTATCAACAACTGTCTTCGCTAGCATCATACTGAAGATTAGATGGCCGGAAAGAATCACAAACAAGAAGCTATGGGAACAAACAAAGCAAGAACCAATCGCTCAACAAATATGCAGGAGAAAGTGGAGATGGATTGGACACTCGCTGAGTAGGCCGTTGAGTGACATCGCGCGTCAGGCCATCACTCGAGTGGAACCCGAAAGGGAAGCGGCGAGTGGGACGTCCAAGGGTGACATGGAGGAGATCGTGTGAAGAGGAGCTGAAACAGTATGGATTAACATGAATGCAGGTGAAAAGTACAGCAGAAGACAGAGGCAATTGGAGGCGTGCAGTTGAAGCCCTATGTTCCATTAGGAACCCAAGGGAACAGTAATAATAATTTACTTATTTAATCGTAATTTAATTTCTGCCCTGTTAACACTTTCTACATTAGATAATTTGTTACAGGATTTCATCATGATCTGACATTGGTTACAGCTGTCCAGTACTCCCAGGTTTTCCAATGGTTCTCTAACCAATGTCAGCTCATGATGAAATCCTGTAACCAATCAACCAAATCCCTACATACCAATACTTGAAAATTCACAATTCTAATGACACATCTTTGGAAATATTCATTTTGTTGCTAAGATAATTTATATGAATATATATTTATATATATGTGTGACGTTGATGGATGACTGGCTGGCTAGCTGACGACAACAAGCCACGATACACGCATGGCAACCGTGAGTCTGTTACCATCACCTAACCAACTCCTCAAACCTTTCCGAGAATATAAAGGACAATGCAAATAGGATTATTATTTATTACGCAATCATCGCCACCATCATCATTCATAATTTGTATTGTTTCATCATATGGTTACATTTTTCACACAGTTTTATGAAGAGCTGAGCAGTACAAAAAGAAATCAATAAAATTAAGGAAGTAGACAAGTAAGTAAGTGGGAAATTTAGAGGAAACTATACAAAACTGTCAGTGTATGTATGTATGTATGTATGTTGGTGTGTGTGAGTGTGTGATCAGAATAGGATTGATTGAGCACCACCCATAATCAGAAATATGTTGCTAAATCATCACACACACACACATAGAAATTAGAAAATTATACATTACAAGAAAGTACCAGTGGCAGGATGAATTGTAGAAATTGTCGTCGGTTCCTGGGGAACTAACGACTTCTTGCACAGGGTCCACATGTGTGTGTGTATGTGATCGAGATCAAAAGAGATTGAAGGCATATCTGCCCATCTATCAGCAGGGCGTGGTATACACAAGTGTGTGTATATATGTCTGTGAATATGTGAATTTCTTGTGATATCTCAGATGAACAGATACTATTTAATTATATATGAGTAGTTTATGCAAATAAGTATAAAATGTGAAGGCTTATTATTATTATCATTTTGAGCATAAATGTTGATTATTTTCATAAATGATGGCTTGAATTTGTCTGGCGAATTCTTCATCTGTCCTCCCAGTGATTTGTTGTGGCGTTGTTGCCGGCGGTGTTGTTGTTGTCGTCATTGAAGGCACCGTTGTACGCGGTGAATATTTTGAATGATTATTACCATTATTATTAATGCACAATCCTGGAGTCGATGGACTACGCGATAATCGATAGAATTCATCCAAATCTGTTGATGAAGGCGTTGTCATCATTGTTTCTGATGATGTATTGGGATTGGTGTTTTTATCAATTTTATGATTACCATTATTCCAGTGATGCTGCTGAGTTGTTAATTTCCCTCGTCCTGGCAGTGTAGACTGTTGATAATTATTATCAACGGATGCCGACGAGGTTGTAGAATGATCGTGAAGATTTGAGACGATAGCAGATGCTCCCATCCGAGGCCGATTACTGTATGACCTGTAAGCGATACACAGAATGCAAAAAGCGCATAGAGAAACTAGCTAGATTATTGGAGCGAAAATTTCATTTTCAATTTTCTGTGGAAAAACAGGGTTAACTATGTCTGAGAATCAGACATAGTCCCCCGTTGGACTATTTCTATTATTGTTATTATTATTATTATTCTCAAGTCACGGAATGTATACATTACGTAAGCTTTATCAACAATTCGGGATTACGCAACAAGTAAATCAGATCATAGGAATTATTCAAAGAAAAAAAAACGGTTGTAGCGAAGAAACTAATTTTCTTTTCGACGAAGTCACCAACAACTAGGTAGCTGTGCATTCGTATGCCTTTGTAGTGTAGTAAGTGGGTGAGAAAGTTCCAGCACTCTATTTCCAGTCGAGAATGAAATTATAATACGTATTATACACGTAGTAGTAGCAAAACAGACAGGAATTTTGAGTAGGAAAGGTACAATAAGATAATCACAATTGAGAAAATTGATCTTACATGATGGCCCTTTGTTTAAAAACAATGGTCGGACGCACTGCTTTTGAATGCATAGTGTGGACTTCAACCGTTGGATCGTGAATTTATCGAATCTGATCAGATGCCTTGCTCTCACTACCATTTGAGACGGAGGTTATATCGGACCTTGTGCAGAACTTAGAAGGTCTTTTCATCAAATGGAACTGAATGTCTTGAATTCAGAAGATGTTCTAGTTGTTAGCTGGATACACTCCTGCGTTCGCCGTTCGATAACCAGCCAGAGAGGACAGTGTTCTCTAGTGCGTTTTGCAAGTGGGTGCATGGTAGGGACAATCCACTGAGCTCCACAAGAGCAAGTGAACTGCTGTATGTATATTGAAGTGGCCTATTGTGGGCGACAACTTGTTTTTCAAATGCTGGCTGAATAGTTTCTTCCATGAGAAAATTTCACCCCTTGGTAGGTAGCGCAGTATGTTCCTTTCCTGAGAGATTTAGAAAACCGTTTACGGAGAATTTCCGCTTTAGTATGTATTACTCGTAAATTCGAGATTAAGTTGTTGCGTTGGCATCTTTTCAAGGGCGACTTAGACTTTTTCTGATCTTTCCTTTGGTTTTAGTTTCTCGTCTATGAATATGGGTGAAGGAAAACCACCTTCTATCAAGCTTTTTTCTTGAAGATTTTGTAGTTCTTTGTCAATTGATTCCTCAATGTATATTTTACCGGATCGTCGAGGAAAGAGAGTAAATCAGGTTTCTCTTTCCGGTTAGAGGAACACAAATTGAAAGTTGTTAAACTGTCTGTTCCATGTGGGCTTTGTGTATGTGGATCTTCTCAGTGCGAGTTATCAGTATTTCTTCGCACTTTGTGAAAATCGAAGAAATGAAACATCGAGTCAGATTCAACTTCCAGGGTGAAGTCTATGTTTCAGCGTGGGTGTTATGGAAGGTTTCTAATAAGTTTTCGAGATTTAATCACAATGAAAGTATCATCAATGTGTCATCAGTGCGTCGGTGGCACGGCGGTCAGGACGCTCGCCGACCATGCATATAATCTGGAGTTTGATCCCTGGTCGACGCACACCTGATATCAATCGTCGGCCTGTTAAGTTTGGACTACCAATATCATATGCTGAAAATTCCATAGTTGTACCAAAATACTGTGTGAAATCAAGTTATAATAATTATAAATAATACTGTATCTCTTGTAGAGACGGAACTCGTCGATAGTTGATCATAAGGAATTCTGTTCTTACTGTTTATTACACTTTGCAATTTTATTGATTTCATCCTTGACCGACCGGAAATACAGAACTCGGGAAATTTCTCACCTATTTACTATACACATACGTGGACGTACACCGACCTAGTTGATGATGACTTCGTCGAAAAGAAAATTTTCTCCCTTAAAACCTTCTTTTTAATAATTTTCAAGTGTTAGTTTGCAGGGCATTTGGTTGATCTCAAGTCTGATCGCGATCTGGAAACCAGGATGTATTGGGGGCCTGTTTTGTCCTCGTCTTCGGGACCCCTCAACAGAATTTACCCACCATGATCCCTGGTGGTAGAATGACACACTCCAAAGGAAATCGACCACCCCTATTTCACAGTCATTTTCTTTCGAGTACACGGGCTGTCGTGTCTAAACGAGTATGCATTAAACCTATTTAATTCAATTTCAGATTTTCCCGTCGATTGATTAGAACGAAGTGCTCGATCTCAGGTTGACATGTAGGCTTCTTGTGCAAATGCTTCGACGACGTCTTGGCATGTAATTAGAAGTTAATTGGTGGATGGTGACTAGCAGTGGAATCCAGGATGCGCATTTCGTCCTATTTGGGACTCGTCCACCAGCTGGATGTGCCTGGATTCCTCAGTGACTGGTGTTCCCACCGAGGCTCAGATCCAAGTGGTCTAGTGGATAACGCTTTGGCAATAAATTGTGCTCGAAACGTCATCAGTAAACATTACTGTATAACACTGTGAGACTTTATCAAAACAAAATTTACCCATAATGGAATTACACTCTACCACAGTGCACAAGTCTTATACTTGTATCGAAGATCAGATCAGGTTGACTAGCCAACCAGAAGAGGGATTGTAAGGGATCAAAATAAGTTCGTTAAATCAGTCCTTCAACCTTTAATGACCAATTTGTTTACCTGTGCAGATTGGAACACCGGGGAGAGATACAGTTGGAGATTTCGAGGGACAGTCGGCAGTTTCACTGTGGTGGGATTATGCATCTTTACAATCTGTTGAAAACCCTTCAGCTACCATAACTGTGTTATATTGTGCCTTCGCTAGATGGTTGGAGAGGGACAGTGTTAAGAACAGCCTGGTCACCAGATTAAATGGGTCGAGCTGCTAAAGGGTTACAGCAATTAGTCTGTGTTGTTAGAGAGTTCAGGTCTGGCAGGCAGGATAGATGGCAACACACACCAATCATGAGCATTAGTTCAAGACGAAACCAAATGGAAGCGAGCTCGAAGTCGTTCAAGCAGCCTTACTAGGTGGTTTCCTAGAGCTGGAATTCATGGGTTGGCCATTAAATCGAGTTCCTGTTGCTTAATGGTCTGCAAACTCTCCTTGTAGCCGGAAATTCCTGAGTTCGAGCTCTGATGGTGGATGCGTACTGATGAGAAGTCCCAAACTAGGGTGACGAAACAGATGTCCAGTACTCCAAGATTTTCCAATGGTTGTCTAGCCGATGTTAGCTCACGATGAAATCCTGTAACAAGGAATTCTGTTAAAGAAGTCGTCGACCACGAACTTATCGCCCAGCAAGTGTGCAAAAGGAAATAAATATAGATAGATCGGATATACGCTAGGGAGACCGTCGAGTGAAATCACGCGCCAACCAGGCTATCGGTCGAGTGGAACCTGAATGGGAAATAAGTGACAAGTCGGGTGTGTGTGTATATCCGAGGGTAACATGCAGGAGGTTGATGAGAACTTATGGATAGTTATAGAGCCACCTAAAACGGACTACGTAGAACTACTAACTGGGTGAAACAGAGATGTAACCGTCAGCAAAAAAAGTTCCAAACCCAAGGGAATAATAATATGAGAATCATAAACTTACCTTTGTGATTTCACCGATGATCCTGGTGTATTCTGATGTGCACCGAAATGACGTCCAACTGTACCGCCATTATTACTGTTACTCATAGGTATATGAATATATCGATCTGTAGTGGCAGCAGATCGTTTACTCTTCTTATGTTGATCGGGATCAACATTATTATTGTTATTATTAGTATTACAATGCATCAGTTCACTATCTTCATAATCATAAATACTTTCCGCATAATAATGATGTAAATCCTGTCTTTGTAATGAGTTAGTATTGATTAACGGGATTACAGACAATGATCTTGGCTCATTAGTGATCATATCATTATAATCTCGATCACTATTATCATCGTTTTCACCATCATCACCGTCATTATGATCTAAGCTCAGTTGAGCTGGATCTTTATTTACTGAATGCGTTATGCGTAAACTGGAGGCATATTGTTGCTGAGGCTCTGTGGGATTCTCATAGACCACTGTGGTAGTTTGATTTTGGTTCAGACTGCTTGCATTAATCAACTGAGATTGTTTGATTAGTTCACTTCTCCATGATCGCAATAATTGGATTCGTTCAGCTTCATTGGCTAATAGACGAGCTTGTGCCTCTGCCAGTCGGGCTTGTGATGCATCCAGCTCACTGCGGATATCGATAATCGCCGGTGTGTTATTCTTAAATAAGAAATAAAAATTGGGATTAAAATATTTAAAACTGGCATTGAAAGTTTCTGTTTTCCTACCTCTTACATGATTTACTTGCCCGATTGTGACGAAGGTAATGCTGTTAAGTATGCCGATCATTCATCTGACTGTTTCTATGGCTAGCGCAGTTACTTCTCAGTCAGACTGTTCCAATATATATGAGGAACTTTTTATCAGAAATGAGTCAGTGGTACTTATCAAATGGTCTTAAGCTTAATCCCTCCGAATACCAGGTGGTTAAACTCACTTTCAGAAGCAAGCTCGACTTACATGAACTGGTTAGTTCACATGGTTCCACTACCATAGATGACACAGAGGTTAAAATTAAACCGAATGTTAAATATACCTTGGACTGTATATTTCCTCTGATCACCTTTTCTGATCTCACACAACATTAGTTTCCACAGTGATGCTATTTCGTTTGACGTTCTGAGTAAGGAAGTTAAGACGATGTGGTATCATTCCGTCTGTACTTTCCATACTACTTTACTGCTTCCCCACCTTAATTTTTCCTGGATTACTTAAGAAACACTGCTGTGTCACACTGCACTTAAAGCCGTCAGTAGGATGACTGGGTTGTTGTCACTAAACTAACTTGTGTTAATACTGTTGTAGACAGGTAACACAAGGACTCATGCAAGAAATTGACGAATATTATCTTGTCGGATGGACTCAGAGAATCCTCCCTATACATACAAATCTCCCCCTAGCATGTCACCAGGTAGGTATTAAACTAGAAGCAACTATGGAAGACTTTGTCACTTGGACAACTAAGTATAAAAACTCTACAATACCTCATTTGGCCGGGACACATTTTTTGTGTGATGAGAAAAGTGTGCAGGGCGGGACATTACTAAGTTAGTGTGGAGCTCTAAGTAAACGGGCCTCTTTATTACTTTTTCCATTATTACATTGTTGTTGTTCCCAGTTAAGTTTTAATTTGATATTCATGTTCTTAGTGAACAATATCATCAAAGCATCTGTTTTAGAAGAATGAATACTGAACGAAGAGTACTCTTTTCGATAGCTTCATCATCAGGCTCTACAGTTATATATACATTATAGTGAATGAATGAATGAATTCGTGTTGTCAACAACTCTGGTGTTGTTTAAATAACATCGAATCAATAATATTGATAGATTACACCTCAATGGCATCAACATAAAATAAGTAGAGTGTCAGAAAAATTAGGAAAGATCATATTACAAATTCATGAATTTATAGTCTCTACTGAAGGCTAGGGCAGTAGTAGGGGCTGGACTTGCTTCTTTTGAACACAGAGCACTGGTTGTTTGAGGTGAAATGCAATAGCCTCTTCTGTTTGGAGCATGCGGTGCTTCGATGTTTTTGGCAATTTATTGGGCATCCTGTAGATGATAGAGAAGCATTCTCCAATGTTGGCTGGCTTTGTGGCTAGTTTGCACCAGATGGTCCAATATCGAACTGTTAATGGTTTTCACTACACCTTTACTTAGCCATACTGGGATATGTTCTCGAGCACGAAAAATCAAGTTACTAGAGCAACAGCAGATATAACTCGCTCCACAAGCACAGTTGAATTGGTAGATACAATTTGAAGTGGCTAGTCTAGGTACTTCATCTTTCAGTCGGGGAATCACCGTCGGTCGTGTAGAGAATAATACGTGTAGTTCGCCAGCATTAAAAGTTCTTTGAACTGATTTTCTTAATTTCCTCGTAATTATCTCACTTGGTATATCGCCCATGAATTGCAGTCATATACAAAGTGGCTTCTTGTTTACAGATAGTGAATAGTCCTTTTCCGCTTTCTTTGTCATGTGTTTCTTAATAAATTTTTCGGGATAGCTATTCACAATCAAAGTATCATACACAATGCTTAATTCATCTTCAATTACTTTTTCTGAGCATATAGCTGTAACTCTGTGGCTGAGGGTCTTCACTAAACTTCTTTTGTACTTGATAGGAACGAAGCTGTGAAAATGTGTATACTGTCCTGTCCAAGTACTTTTTCTATGCAAATTTCTTTTTATGCTACCATCTGGTTTTCTTGTAAGTAGGACATCCAGAAAGGCAATTCTGTCTTGGGATTCCTCTTCGCATGTGAATTTCATAGCCGAATGTACTTCATTGAATTCAGTAATTATTGTACTCCTATCCTATCTGTTTTAATTATTACCCTGTAATGAGAAAGTTACATGCAATGCTGTACTACATGCTGAAGATTCCATATTTTTACCAAAACAAATACTTTTCGGAATAAATCTATTATTATTACTACTAAGAAAAGAACAGCTATATGACAATGCAACATGTCAGGTAATACACAACAAAATACTCGATAAAGACTGCCTTTGAAGTGAGTGAATACAGAGAAATAAGACAATAGTTCTGACTACTGTCACCCACAATGATACTCTCAATTGTAGTGAACTTAGTTATGCACAGGACTATGAGCAAGGAACGAGAAGACAGGAATACTCCGGACCGATAAGAAGACTCTCGACTTCCGTGGACGATTTATGTCTGATGTCACATATATTCGAAGACATACAGAAGAAAACCAACAGGTTCGTAGAAGAAGTGGCGAAGGCAGGCGACTTCAAGTGTGAACATCGAGAAGACGGAGGTGATGAAGATGGCTAACCAGCACCAAACACCATCAGCTGGAGAAACTTGAAAAAGTCACTTCCTTAACTTATCCGGCTAGGCAGTATCATTTCAACTACAGGTGTTGGCATGGATGGGGATTTCAAAAACAGACAGGATCGAAAAGGCAAAACAGAACTTCATCACTCTGAAGTCAGTTTTAAAATCTACTGTACTGAGCATAGAGGACAAGATTTGGATTCTGTTCAATACCAATATTAAGTCAGTCAGCTGCTCTCAATAGGCAAGAAACTTGGCCAGTGCGTTACGAAAATTATCCTTAACAGGCTACTGCAGACTTTTATCAATAGCTGCCTCCTGTGGTTCGATACCGAGGACCGAATGGCTAGGAAGAATTAGTAACAAGAAACTCTGACTGGGAACAAGCCCACGAGAAACCTATTGGTCAACAAATAATCTGTAGGAAATGGAGGCGCAGAGGAGACCCCTAAGTGATATTGCATGCCAGCCAGGCCATTACTCGACTGGAACCCAAATGGAGAACGACAAATTGGGCATCTGTCCGAGAGTGACTTGGAAGATATCGTCTTGGGAGAAGATGAGAGCAATCGTAGGGTCAGCTAAAGAGGACTGTAGAAAACGGGACAAAACGGAGGTGTACTCTGGCTGTTGAAGCCCTACGTTCTAATCTGAACGCCGGGGAATAATAATATTAATTGGTTGTGTGCAACTGACAAATGAACATTATATTCTATCCCTACTCTAAAATTATAGACAATAAACTCACCTCTTTAGGAAACAACGCTGGTCGCTTCCCTGCTGGTGCACCAATTGTACGTGGAATCTCCTTTGTTCCAAACTTAATCCTTTCAAGTTTTGTTTCCAACCTTCTCATCGAAGAAGAAGAAGAAGCAGAACCATGTTGGAATTCCTGTGGATCACTAGTCGATTGGTGAATATGTTCCTTAGATGATGTTGAATTCCCGGAAAGATTAACTTCATTTGTGTTTGGATATGTTGTTGTTAGTGTGGCGCGTCGATTTCTTCGTTCATCAGGTAGGATATATACAGGTGGTGCCCAATTCCTACGGTCCAGTTCCACTGTTTGATCTGACCGCTGTTGATGATGAGAATGATGATCACCGTTCTTTATTGTGTCAATCAGGCGATTCGTTTCATGTGAATTCCCTAAATTTACATAAGTATGTCGTCTTGATGAATTTGAGTTGGGTTTCTTTGATGATGACGATGAAGAATTATTACAACCGCCTACTGAATTATTATTATTATTGTTGTTTGTAAGTAGTACAGTATCTTTATCTGAAAAATATTCTATCGAATTATCATAATTTGAAACGTTAGAATTATTAATTTGTTTCAAGGAATGACACGTATATAGAGGATTATTCACACTAGTACTACTACTTATTTCGTCGCTTATTGACGTCAGCAGTATATTATGGTTTGGTGTAGAGACGGGTTGATTATTCCCACACCGACTAGAGATAGTATGATAACCAGAAGAGATAGAATAATTGCCTAATACACAGTTTGAACTCATTACAGAAGGATCCTCGCTAAATTCTGTTGGATTCATTTCTGCACTGACTGGACTATCTAGTTTGGCGTGTAAACGTTCACCACTAGTGGTTGTAGTATCATTTGTTTCACGGTATATAACAACAGATTCATGAGATTTCTTTTTCTGTGGACTTTCTACCCTACCTTTTCTCCATTTTCTGTGATCCACTTTTAAAGAAGAGTCAGTGAACGTATCTTTGGCGAGTTTCGAGTCAACGATAAAGTCTTGTGAAGTTTTTGGCTGAATTGATGAATTAGTACTGGGGAATCGATTTTTCTTCACTTCAATTGAATGATAAAAGCCATCTGTAGTGTTTGTTGTATAGGGTACTTTGATAATTTCAATTGAATCACAGCGAATAATGCGCTCTGGTGGTATGTTCGTAGGTGTAGGCGAAGTCGTAGGCGTAGTGACAGCAGTGCTAGCTTCTGTATGATGATTCTGCTGTGATTTCGACACGATAACTTCAACATTTGAATTGGGCTGAAATAAATAAGAATAGTGAAAGGTTAGTTTAGGCAGTACAATAAGCATGAGTAATATTTAGGTGTTTTGGAATTCAGTGTGTTAGTTAGGTTAGATGGGAACAGAAATCAATAGCAATGAGGTTGTGAAGAGGAAAGGCGCTAACATGCTATCCAAACGCAGAAAATCAATCCAATCGCTATAGAAACTTCAAAACACAAGAAGAAACAACAAAAATACCAGCCGATCGTCAGAATGCATTCTCACTTGCACGTTATCACATAATAAGTTGGGCGGCGTTAACTGAGAGATACAAAGGAGTGAGATTGTGTGCGAGTATGTGTGTGTCGATGGTTGACTGTGTAGAATGTTTGCCAGTCAAGCATTTCGGCTGAACATGATTCAAGGCGAACGACTTCATACCCACTCCTAACCCGGTATTCTACTCGGGGTAGCAAGTCCGAATAGCAGAAGAGGCAACCCTGGGAAAAATACTACACTACTGCTGACTGACACACTAAGTTTGAACACAGAAATTCTACAGACAAATGGCCAGAAGATCCAGTCTCAACACTCTCTCTCTTCACGTGGCGCACAAAGCAAGAGCACAAAGAGCAAAGAGAGATTCAACAACAGAGAAATAGAGAATAAACACAATTGTGAGTGAAGGAAAAAGAATAGTAGTTGTACGGAAGAACAATAGACTTTCATTGGATGGCATGACAAATCACACAAAAAGTGAATGCATCGCCAGCTATCATTGAGACTGTCTGTCTGTTTTCGATATAGAACTTTGCACATATGTGCGGCAGTTCAAGTCGCCACACTCCATGTAGTACACAAAGCAAGAGAAGAAAGTAGGAGAAATGCATATCAGAGACAGTAAACAGAGGTGTGAGACAAAGGTATAGTACTAACGAAGAACAAAACAGTTTAATTGGAAATCATAAGTCACAAGGAGTGGATGCATCTGCACCAGCCATTGAGAACGATTTTGAGCCATGTCACCAATTGTTTCCAACCATTGGTTTTTACCGTCCCGAGGACCTCAACCAGGAAGCCTACACCTTCCTACGTGCCTTAGACTAACTGTTGTAGATTTCATTGACTGGTGCCATGTTTTGGTTTGACCGCCGCTGGTTCTTTTCCAGCCTGACCCCATATCAGCTAACATTGCCCGTCGAGGAAGGCGATGACTAGGCATACGTAACATATGTCCTAACCATCTCAGTCGATGTAGCTACTTCACAGCCTCGTCGATTGATTTCCCCTCTTTACCTAGCACTCGACATAAGCCTAACCTCAATATTGCTCACCTTATTATACCACTTCACACGGGAGATAGAACGCAGGCACCTATGATCGAAGACAGCTAATCTTTTCATGTCTTCTGTTCTCAATGGCCAGGTCTCACAGCCATAAGGGAGGACGGAGCGAACTGCTGAGCAGCACACACGCCCTTTGGTCGATAGTCGGATATCACGTCTACTAAGCCAGAGAAGGCGTAAACTGGCATATGCGAAACTAGCCCTCTGTTTCCGTACTCAGCTGAGATTTCGTCAGAGATCAACCCGTTGGCACTGGCTGATGGTACTTCCCAAGTAAGTGAAGCGGTCAACCTGCTCTACCACTTCACTTCCTGTTTCTAATCTAGTGGTCAGTGCAGTCCAATCCTGCAACGTCATCTTACATTTTACAGGGGCGAATCGCATGCCAAACATACGAAGATTGCTGCTCAAGGTGTTCAGAAGACTGCATTTTGTCAGCGTCCTCACCTAGAAGGACTATATCGTCTGCATACTCTAAGTCAACGAAATTCTTCCCTGGTAGCAAGTCAATCCCTGAGTCTCTGAAGTGAGTTAGGGTAAAGTCTATTATTACGTCTATGATGAAGTTGAATAGGAATGGGGATAATGGACATCCTTGACGGACGCCACTAGTCGTCACCACTTCAGATGACAACTCGCCATAAGCCCTCACCTGGCTGCATGAGTACGAGTAGAGTGCCTTAATCAGTGCAATGTATTTTCTCGACATTCCCTTTACAGCCAAGTATCGCCAGAGAATCACTCGGTCGACAGAATCGAATGCCGCCTTAAGGTCAAGAAATATAATGATTGTTGGACGCCGGTAGGAATGCCTATGTTCTAGAATCTGTTCGAGGGTGAAGATATGATCAATACACCCTCTTCCTAGCCTAAAACCTGCCTGGTTTTCTCGTGTTTGTGCCTCCCGAGCACCAATTAGTCTATGCAATATTATTGAGCCTAGGACTTCAGAAAATATATTAGTCAAGCTAATCCCTATGTGATTATCACAAGAAGACTTGTCTCCCTTCTTGTTTATCGGGATGATCAGTGACTTACACCAACCCGATGGGACTTCCTCTGATTCCCAGACGCTGCCCAGGACTTCAGTTAATGGAGACAGTAAACTGTCTCCACCGTACTTAAATACCTCTGGAGTCATTCCATCAGGTCCCGCTGCTTTGCCTTGCTTCAGATTAGTGACAGCTTTAGTAACCTCAGTTAAGGACGGAGGACCTGTGTCTATATCCCATTCAGGGAGTTGTTGGATGTTCGGCAGGTTAAGTGTGGCTGTAGGCCAATATCACTGAGACTGAGGATTTTGAGCCATATCACCACAAAGTCTCCAGTCGTCATTGGCTATTGCCTCTCGAGTACCACAACCCCGAGGTGGGCAGGCAGTCTACACCTCACTACCTGGTGGCTGGCTTGTTGGTTGGTTGGCCAGCTAAAATCAACTGTTTTTATGCATTTCATTGACTGATGAAGCAACGTTTGCGTTTGACCACCCACCAGTGACTACCTATTTTCCAGCCTGGTGTGCATCCTATGTCCATCCATCCTAAGCTAACATTTCCGTCGAGGAAAGTGATCGATCGGTGGCTAGGCTACCATACGTAACACAAGTCCTAATCATCTCAGTCGATGCAACTGTTTCACCATCTCGTTGATTGATTTTCCCTCATTCCTAACCTAACTAACACTCGACGCCTAACCACCTCTGTTGGATTGACTCTTATTGTACCGCCTAACACAATGAGGATGGAACGCAGGTACCTATGATTGAGGATAGATAACCGGTCTTTTCATGTGTTCCACTGGCAATGTCCGGCATGTTTCACTCATAGCCATAAAGGAGGACTGAGCGGACTGTTGCCAATGTGGAGTACACACGCCAGCCAGCTGGATATCACGTCTTCTACGCCAGAAATTGCGTGAGTTGGCAAATGTCACACGAGCTTTTTGTATCCTTTAAGGTTGATGCCGTTTCACAAATAAATGAAGTAATCGTCAATACGCTCTACCACTTCACTCTTGCCTATTTTGAAGCCAGATAAGCGTTGCTGGCTGGTGATAGTGATACTGAAATTGTGTTCCTTTATTCACAAATGCTTAGAACTTACCATAGTTTTATAATGATTTTTATTGCTTCCAGTAGGTTTCCTCTTTTTCTCAGGAACAGTGATTTGTTGTTTCAACGAAGTAGTAGAACTAGGCGCTGATAACATTGGTGTAGACGTGAGTGGGGTGATTTTCTCATCATCCAGTGAAATCGTACTCTTATTATTTATCTCCCCAATATAAGTAGTAGTATTATCAGTCGTTGTAGCAGGAGTCCTCGTAGTTGTCTGTGAAGTATTCTTCTTCACGAGTGGATGTGGTGATTTTGAATGACTTCTTGATGTGTTGTGGAAATTCTCTACTTTTTTTGTTATTCCAGTCGTGGTGTCATTTGTTGTAGTGTTGCCAGTGTTAATAACAATAATCGACGAGGTCCTATTATCCTGTTCACTGTTTGTATTCGCCTTCTTCTGCCGCCACCAATTTGGTTGTGGATCTTTCCCACTCGTGAGGAACATACTGATTTCGTCTAGAATTGTCTTCAACTCGTTGATATCTGACTGTCTTTTCTGAATGAAGAAGAGGAAAGCATGTTTAAATGTGTGTGTGTGTGTATATGTGTGATAATAGGCATTCAAAAAATATCGAATATTTAATGTCAGTAGAAGGTTTGAGCATTGTAGAATAGATCAAATAAAGTACAATTTATATTTTGATGGTTTCCACACAATGATAAGTTTTTTCTTGTTTTGGCAATATTTTGAGCAAAATCACTGCCCGTGATCACACCAACTGATTGTTGGAATTGTTTCTTTTTTTTTAACTCACACTTTTATGATTTGTATTCGTATATGTATATAGTTCACTTTTGTGTATCCAGAAATATATTCCAGGTTGTTGACAGTTGTGTAGCCAAGTCACCCTTGTTACATGTATCCAGTGTGACCTTAACCACAATATAGCTTCCGTTGTTGTCAGTCTCTCTTTCCATTTGTTCATATCCGATTTAAGAATACAAACGCTGTCACAATCAATATTGTGATTTTTGTCCCATGCATGTACGCCTGTAAACCGGTATTTTTTCTAAATCATTGTAAGCTTGTGTTCCTATGGGCTGACCTTTAGTTAGGCGTTTATCTTGTTGATTCACTCTTGTTTTGAGTGATAATTCTAGACTCTTGACCCATATATTTAATCGAACATTCTGTTTGTAAATTACATCACTAATTATATATATCCATCATACATAATGGATCTTTCCGTTGATTTACTTCCTTTTTTATTTCTATCTAATCAGAATCGTTGGTTTAAACGTGGTGCGAATCCCAAAATTATTGAAGTTTCTTCGAATTCCTCCTCTGTGCGTGTACGTAGCATATTAGTGTGGCACTGTGACCTTTTTTGGTTGGAATCCTGCATCTCGTCATTCTGTGTCGTTTTCTTTTGGCGTGATCAGGGGCAGTAATTTTGCTCGAAATATTACCGAAACAAGAAAAAACTTATCATTGTGTGTAAACTATTGAAATATATAATTATACTTTATTAAATATTTAATATACCAAAATAAATATCAGATAAAAATTAAGACCTACATATTACTGATAAATTGAGGCGAGTAGTTGTATACATACCATAAACATTTTAACCAGCAGCACTTGTTAGCTAACTGGCCAGATTATCGAAGTGATCTACACCTCATAGACGTGACATATCACTGTCGACCAAAAGACACATGTACTCCACATTAGCAGCAGTCCACCCCATCCTCTTTTATGACTGTGAGTGAGACATGCCAGTGGAATACATGAGAAAACCGGCTAGCCGTCTTTCATCATGGATGTCTGCATTCTATCTCCATTGTGTTAGGCGGTACAATAACAGTCAGTCACACTGAGGTGTTTAGGCGTTGATTGTTAGTTAGGTTAGGAGTGAGGGAAAATCAGTCGACGGGGTTGTGAAGCAGTTGCATCTACTGAGATGATTAGAACATGTGTCACGCATGCTAGCCTGTCCATCGATCGATCGATCGATCGCCTTCCTCGACGCGAAATGTTATCTTAGTTGACATAGGGTACCTCAAATTGGAAAAGAGCTAGCTAATAGTCGGTGATCAAACGAAGACATGGCTTCATCAATCAATGAAATCCATAACAACAATTAGTTTGAGCCGGCCAATCAACCAAAAAGCCAACCGTCACGTATTCGATGCAACTGCTTCACAACCCCGTCGACTGATTTTCCCTCACTCCTAACCTAACTAAAAATCGACGCCTATCCATCTCTGTTTGACTGACTTGTATTGTAACGCCTAACACAATGGAGATAGAATGCAGACATCCATGATGAAGGACAGCTAACCGGTCTTTTCATTTGTTCCACTAGCAATGTTTGGCATGTATCACTCGCAGTCATAAAGGAAGCCGGTGAGGAGTGCTGGTGAGAAGTTTACACGCCATCTAACCGATAGCCTACAGGATATGACGCTAGAGATGATGTATGTTGTCAAATGCTACACAAGCCTTCTGTATCCGTGTTAAGATTTCGGTCAGCGACCAGTTCCCGTCTGAGCTGATGCGATTTCCTAAGTAAGTAGTGGTTAACACGCTCTACCACCTCATTCCTCCCTAATTTTAAGCCAGCTAAGAGTCGATGTATTCCAGTCCTGTAGCCTCATCATCTTACATTTGATAGGAGCGAATCACATGCCAAAAATTTGATGATTGCTGCTACTCAGGGTACTCAGAGTATACTCAACTGTATTATGTCGGCGTCTTCAATTATGATGGAGGACTATAACATCTGCATATTATTCCAAGTCAACAAAATTTGTCCCTGGTGATAACAAGTCTATCCCTGAGTCGCGAAAGTTAGTTAGGGTTAGTCAACTTCTCCCTTAGTACATTTACGGTTGAGGTAAACAGAAACAGGGACAGTGTTTGTATGAACCCCTGATGGATACCACTAGGTGTCGTTGCAGTTGTCAGATGAAAACATTCCAAAGGCTTTTACCTGGCTGCATGACTTAAAGTAGTGTGAGTGCCTTGATTAATGTGATGTATTTTCTCGACATTCCCTTCACGGCTGAACATTGCCGTAGTACCTCTCAGTTGACGGGATCGAATACAGCCCTCATAATCCTCACTGATGAACTGAGACTCCGAGAAGCTATTGGAACACCTTTCCAATGTGTTGAAACTATCACCTCTATTTTGTTGGTTGATGTGCGTGATTGTTATCATCTTACTACTCATATTGATCAATCAGTGAGTAGTATATTTAATGCATGCGAAACTGTGAATATAGGGGGCCATGAATGGTGGTGAACACTGAATCATATGTTTGTTCATCTGGTCTGCATTTGGCGGGAGAGAAAAAGGCCATCATTACTTAATCGTCTACTGGTTGGTGGAAGATTGGAGAACTAAGATGAGAAGTACTAGTGCATATTATATCAACGATTATGTACAGACTTTGCACTTGGTAATAACCGTAATAGTGTTTCGTTATCAGCAGAAGAATAAACTATCGTACTGCCCTACCGTTTACTGTTTTTCCGCAGCGTCGGTTAACATGCATAATATTCTGCGTATAAGACTTAGTCTTCTGAAACCAGCGATAAAAGGTGTGGGATCTTTGCGATCTGGTTATTAGCCAGTTTCTGATCTATCTGCTTTGGCAATTTGGATCTCTCCAGCGGATTAGATTTAATTAATGGTTCGGCGGAAAGCCGCTGACATTTCTGCTCGTTCTTGCTTGGTCTCCATCCCTTCGTCTTTGAACAAGTATTGTCGGGGTTATACACTTCCTGATTTTTTTCGCTGACTCTTGATAATGCCTGGGGCACATAAAAGACGTGACAATATGGAGGCAGACAAAAAAGTAAGTAATGACGAATCGTTCCATATTTGTGATCAGTTGTCTGACGTTATGACTGACAGAATTGATGAACATTTAGCTTCCCACAATGAGAGTAGATGCTCTAAGTTACTTAAGTTTGATCCGTGGTACTTCGATGGAAACCCAGAGGACTGCCCTCGCCTTGTGAAGGAAAGTGAAGCTATGCTAAATAGTTTCGGACTTAACGATGATATGAAGTTGATGTACTTGCTGAGATATTGCACTGTATCGCCACTGCAAGAGGAATACAGTATTGTATTTCTTGCTCCTAAAGGGTAGATATACCGAAACAATGAGGATATTACGTCAAAGATTTGGGAGGCCATTTACGACCTCCAGTAGTGTAAGAGTGATGGTACTCAGTCGACCGACAATTTAATACTTTCGTCTCTCTTGATTTTATGGACGATTTTAATTCAAGCTCTGTTCTCAGGGTGTAATTGCTAAGAAATTGCCCACTAGGCTGCAAAGAAAGTAGATTAAGATCAGCGATCGTATAAAGGAGGAAGAGTTTCGAGTCAGGGTTCGAATAAACAAGTAATTCAATATTCACCAACATTGATAGAAGCACACAGTCTTAATCAATATCTAAGTAAAGCATCAACTCACCTCTTCAGGAACTTTATCGATAGCCTCGCATAACTGAAGATGACATAGAGCTAAGCATAGCGGCAAATCGACATGATCTCTTAAACCGAGATGATTCTGAGGCTGATGAGAACTTAAGTGTTGACTTTCACAACTTGGAAGGGGTGGTAACGCGATACAATTCAGCGTGGTTGACCCTTCTTGATATGTTGTTTTGTGTTTGGATAATTCTTGACTAGATTGTTGTTTCATAGGCGATTTGACATCATGCTGTCAAGAAGAAATTGTGAACGGATCATAGAGTTGAACTGTGTTCATGCTAAGAAAAAGAAACACTTGGAAACATTTATTTCCCGATACGAATTTAAAACAAGCAACAAAAGGTGCTGTTAATAAAGCAGGATTTAATGAATTCATCAAATTTAAGCAGGCCGCGACCATTACTTGCTAGCATATCCACATGGAAGCAGGTGATTGTTGTCTTAAAGGGCCACAACCCCTCCCCCTCCGTGAACCTTCGACGGGAGACGTGATCCTCAAGGTATTATGACGGTTTCAGGAGATTCTGTGTCCCCAACGACTACCGGTGACCAATTGGACTCTAAAGCCCATGTGCATACAGACATCACACGTTAGGTTTGGAGTCCATCAGGATTTCCCAGCTCGTCTTAGATAAATAGACCTAGGTCAAGTACATAGGTCAAACCAGCAAATCTACGGTACTCAGGTTGTCAGAAGACAAGAATTTAGCCAAGTGTAGAATGACTAAACCAGTGAAGATAAGTAATTTCGAAAAAATCTAAGCAATTCCACTACATGCAACAACACACGACCACACAAATGGATGAGACAGAGTTACAATTCTGAAAAGTAACATAGATGGTGAGAGAGAAGTTAATTACTGAATCTTTGTTCATCGAATCCACACACACAACAGGCGCAACAGGAATGACTCATCACTGATACTAGAGATCTGAAAAATATTACGGCAAATCAAATCAAGAGATGAAATAATAGTGGAATTATATATAGACGAAGTTGGAAAGTTGTGTGAGCACCTTGATATAATTCTGAGTAGCAATAAATTTCGCTTGAAACGTGATCATCAGTAAGTAATGCTGCATAACAGCACTGTGAAGCTTTATAAAAGTAAAATTTCCTCCTTAATGGAATTATACTCTACCACCACGGAAACCCATAACAACAGTTAGTTTGAGCAGGCCAACCAACCATCCAGTCGCGACGTAGGAAGATGTAGACTGTCTGCCCACGTCGAGGTCGGGGTACTAGAGATCGCGATACCTAATGACGACTGGAGACCATCTGTAGTGATATGGCTCAAAATCCTCAATCTGGATGATGACTGGCGAAGATGCATTCACTTTTTGTGTGATTTGTCATATCATCCAATAAAGGTCTATTGTTCTTCCATACACCCATTATTCTTTTTTCCTCATTCACAGTTGTGTTTATTCTCCATCTCTATTTTGTTGGATCTCTTTTTACTCTCTTCTCTTTTTTGTGTCCTACGAGAAGAGGGAGTGCGGCAACTGGAACTGCTGCACATCTATGCAAAGTAGTTCTATTTTGAGAGCAGTCAGTCACACCATCAATCATATCCGCAGACAGTGCTCTTGGAGGAAGGAAATGGCTCACAATATTCGCGAAATACGTGTTCGAAGCCACCTCAATTAGCTCAATTTAATTTCAGTAAAATTCAACACAACTCTTACCGATTTATTTATTTTACCACGTGAACTGATTGAAACTGGCACACTGGTGTTTGTGGACAGTCCATTATTCTCCCCCATAAATCCTCCATGATGTGATTGACTGTTGCCAATACGATTCTCTGAAGACGTAGAAGAACCACCACAACCACGATCATCCTCTCCACCTAATCGATGTGTTGACGATAGTTTCGATACTTTCAGGAGATTCTCATCCGATGAACTAATCATATGTAGGGAATGAGGTGTAGAACCGTTTTGACTATTTCTATTGCTATGGTTATTGTCACCGGTAGCATGACGACTAATGTTGTTATTATTATTATTATTGATCGGTTTCAGTACTGCTGTACTGTTGCTATTTAGTGATTTTTGTGAAGGCGAAGAAGTAGAATGCATCGACGCTTTCCCGATCGGCATTGAAATGGAATGTAGAAAACGTCGCATCTCTGGCAACTGATCAGTGACAAACTGATTCATAAATTTCATGTAGGCTTCTTTGGAACCACTGAAGAGACTGAAATTCGCCAGTGTTTGGATTGTTTTAGCAACCTATGTGGGAGGGTGGAGGGAGAAAAAAACACAGAGTTGTTTTTTGAGTATGTGAGGGAATTTATGAGTATACGCATCTTTTTAAAATGAGGGTTAGGGAAGACCTTTCAGCATGGCCGCAAAGAGACAGAGGCAGTTGTAGTTTAGCGAAGGTCCAAAGACCTGGCTCGACCACTTCGAGATATGCTGGGGTAATGACACCTATAGACCTCTGACTAATTTTTATAGGGAATTTATTGATTTATTCAGTAATAACCAATCAATAAAACTTATAAAATATAACCAAAAAAGATAAATCATCTGCCAGCTTTCTCATAACATAGGAAAGTTGGTCGCATCATGAACACTTTTTTCTCGCCTTTAAAAAGAAAATGTTTCACTTTAAATGCTTTTATGATGATTAATAGTCATTCCCTGAGTTCTGAGTGGAAAATATAGTCTCAGTGGCATATCTCCATCTCACGCCGTCTTCTGTCGCCACTTTCAGCTGGCTGTGTGACGACAGCCCATAGGCTTTCATTTCCCTCAGACACGATCTACTCCATGTCACCGCTGAACACTCAGCCGGTAGCTTCACACTTAGGCTCCATTCGATTATTTCGAAAATAGCGGGAGTTATTGCCATTTAAAGAGAGAGGTCTGAATTACGTGTCCGAAATGAGACTATTACTAATTTACTATTACAATTAGTAAGCATTAACACCTTCATTTTATCTCTCTAGCAGAGTTTCAAGCTGGGACGAAGTATGACATCTTGATTTCACTCTGTTCTCTGTTGTTATTTTCAGCTTATTCTACGATTAACCACAAGGTTTCGTTGGCTTCCCACCCAACCCATTACGATCTCCACCATGTCACCACGTTCCACTACAGACGCTTACTCCATTCGGATTCCACTGTTGCGCTGTGCCACTGGACAGTGTCGTTAGCGTCTGTTCAGTCAGTTCATCCATCCATCCTTATTTGTCAGGCGATAAGTTCTTGATTGTCTAGTTCGTTGACATAGTGTTTTATTACTTATCCTTTCTAGCCTCGTGGGACATCTGATCTTCAGATATCGAGAGAGATATGGTCAAAAGTTTCTGAAAAAGCAGAGTCTAATTTGATATTCGTAGTCAAAGATGTGGATCTTGTAGCCTGTACTGATTTGGGGAGAAGTGAAGGTGTCCATCTTGTTTTTTTGATTCTAACTGCCTTTGACATTCTCATCTGAGCTAAAAAGCCCGTAGTTGAAACGGTGCTGCTTCCTATTGATCGGTTTCTGTTGCTGTTTTAAGTCACCATTTTCACCTACATTACCGGCCCATCAGTCCTAATCCTACCAGAAAAAGATGAGAGAATCAAGGGGTCGGGTAGGGTTAGGTGCGTGTAGTGGCTAATGACTCTCCCTCCCCCCTACTGTCGATTAAATCCCCTACGAAAAAAGACAATCCAATCATCAGAACAGAAAGTTCACAGCAAACAAAAGAAGCAAAATATACTGAATGGAAATTTACCAGAGTAAATGCCCGTAGTACTCTTGGTTCACTCGGGAATTCATGGGTTAAATTGAACAGTGATGGTGAAAGGATAGCTGGACATATATAACGTAGAAAAAGGCAAGCTGAGATGACATGTTCACACAATGTACCATTGCCATTGTCGACACCGACACCGACGACACTCACGTTACCACTACTGACATTGGAATTCATTGATGATGATGATAAGTAGGACCCTTTTGAACCGTCTAAATGTTGTCTAATTTCGATAAATAAGGCTCTAAATTGTCTGAAAAAGAAGAGAGGAAAAGTAAATAGGGAAAACACCGGTAAAAACAAGTAAACAGAACAAGTGATTCAGCGAAGAGACCTTTCCTTGCCAGAGAATTTATTAAGGACACAGTATTCAGCGAAGAGATTCTTTTCAAGGAATTTATTCTCATCAAACTAAATCATCTACAGAGCCCAGATCTTTTAGATCCTTCTTATCAGGACAACGTATTCCTGTCTTCGAACTCCCCAATCACAGTTTGTCACATAATCCAGTCCATCAAAATTAGGAATAACATCGTGGGTGATAATAGGTTTGCCTTACAGTCCTGACTTCACTCACTTCAGAGGTAGACTTCAAAGGCTAAGTTTTCCATCGAAGATCACCTAACACGTGTTTTTGTCAGCTATAGACAGCTTTGGTTGAATGCGGTCGATAAAGATTTGTGGCACTGCACTCTATAGGGTCAACGCCGTCAAAGACATTTTCAAATTAGTCGGTGAAATTGATGATGATAGAGGTTTGACTGTCAGAATAATACAATAATAAATGATTATTCCAATCGATATTTTTATGAAAACAGGAACTTACTCTGGAAATTTATCTTCACTTGTTAAAATCTTTTTCCATACAAGTTCAACTAAACTTAGTAAATTCACTTGATTTTGTGCCAATTGAGAAGAGGTTTGCACCTTCGAAATATCAACTTCATAATCAATAGGCTGCTGACGATTGTTTATCATCAAGAGTGGATCAACAGGCATACCAGAGATAACTATCTTCACGAAGTCGGAGAGAATTGTTGGCAAGTACGAACCACCGACAAGACGTAAATAGATCTCTGTAGCTTTTGTGGCTATACTGTTAGCACGTAATACCATATTTGGATCAGCTGGAAATAGAAGGAGAAGAACAGTGAGAACGAGCCTTTTCAAGTGGGATGGTTTCCAGGGATTCAACTAGTCACAGGTTTGATCAAGAACTGACAGCAGTTAGGGAACCACTGGAAAACCACTAGGCACCACTGGACAGCTATTTCGTCCTAGTAACCCCCAGAACGCTTCTCAAACAGTACGCACCCACCACCGAGGTTCGAACCTGCAACACCTTCCGTGAGCTGGTTGGAGCCATTAACAGCCTTTGGGACCCGATCAAATGTTCAGTGCCAGGAATTTCAACCTCTGCCAATTCGCGATATGTAGATGGCGCAACCACCACCAGTCAGTCAGCCAATGTCATCAGCGGCGAGTAGCTATCCTGTTACTTCACTGACTTGGTGGAGGACCCCACTGGTCGTTAACACAACTCCTCTCACTAGTTGTCCATGGCTTCCTGTGACCGACTGCTAACAAACCATCTAACAGCAACAATAACAACAACAATTCACAGTTCGCTGTGACGACAGGCCACGACGTAACTACATGGTAGCTACATTTCAGTAAAGTTGACTGTGACGTTCGATTTGATCTGCACCAACACACAAACCTAATGGACTGGAGGCGCATAACATACATTAGTTACTACCTAGTGTGTTAAATAGTCAAAATATGAATTGCAGTCCTAAAGGAGGTCAATTGCGAGCTCGAACGTCTGCTCAGTAGTAACATCTCTGACCAATGTTGGGTCCACCAATTCATCGGGTGTGGTGGGTGAATACTCACCGATGACACTGACCGATGGTGGTTCTCTACACATATCGCTGCCAATCGACAGAAAGTAGGCTTTAAGGGATATCAGATTATTTCGTACACATTTAACTGAGGGTTCTACTGCTTTATCTCACATGTTAATCTGTATCATATCGCGAGTAATATAGAGAGGTTAGACATAGTTTTTGGTAGGGAAAAAGTACGAAATATGAGTGCGGATAGAAAAAGGCTCGTTTGGTATTTCCCAACTAACGCCATCTCGTGCGTAGACGCAATATCCGTCTGTGGATCAAAACATACGAGTACTCCACAGTAGCAGCAGTCCGCGCTGTCCTCCTTTACGAGGCTGTGAGTGATACTTGGAAGGTGTATGTTTTCTACCTACATCCTGTGTTAGATGGTATAATAATATTGAGTCATACTGAGGTGGTAGGGCGTCGAGTGTTAGTTACGTAAGGAGTGAGAAAAGATCAATCGGCGAGATTGTAAAGCAGTTGCATCGATTGAGATGGTTAGGACAGGTGTTACACATGCCAGCCTAGCCATCGATCAATCAATCGCCTTCCTCGATAGGAAATGTTAGCTTAGCATGGATGGCCATAGGATGAATCAGGTTGGAAAAAAGGTAGATAGTGGTGGGTGGTCAAACGAAAACATGGCTTCATCAGTCAAAGAAGTCCGTAACAACAGTTAGTTTGAGACCGCCAACGAACCAACAAGCCAGCCAGCCGCCACGTAGTGAGGTGTAGACTGGCTGTCTACCTCCATACGGTAAGAAGAAATGGCGACTAGAGACTGTTGGAGATGACATGGCTCAAAATCCTTGTTCTCAATGATGGATAGCGAAGGTGCATTCACTCTTTGTGTGATTTATCATATCATCCAATAAAGGCCTATTGTTCTTCCATACAACTGCTATTCTTATTCCCTCACTCACACTTGTGTTAATTCTCTCTCTCTGTTTTGAATCTATCTTTACTCTCTCTCTCTTTCCTTTGTTTGTGTGCTACGGGAACAGGGAGTGTGGCGACTGGAACTGCTGCACATGTGTTTAAAGTTTTATGTTGAAACCAGTCAGTCAGTCAGCTGAAGGTGTTTCCTCGTAACTCTACGACTCCTCTTCATCAGCATGTACGACCACCCATGACCCCACCATCGGGGAATCCAACTCAGAATCTTCAGGCTTATAAGGTGAGGTTGTAAAACATTCACATAATGGGATGGAGAGAAATCCAATGGTCTGTGAATTCTAACTCGTGTCAATTCACGATGTACATAGCACCATCACTAGCCAATAAATCATTGATTATTATTTATCCTCACAAACAATGACATGCCGTAGGCCATACTGGTCATTGGCCTATAGTTCTAATGAGACGGGTTGTTACCAGTTTAGAGTCAACCAAATGCTTCGTCGGGCATGAGGCCAAATACTCACCGATGACTTTGCCTGAACGTGGCGATATATGTATCATGAATCGAAAGAACTAAGTATTCGTCAGTCATTGAATTCTGTTGCCACATGACCGGAAGATTCAAGTTTCTATCCTCGGTGATGTGATCATGTGTGCATACTGCTCATGGTAGGGTCACCATTACGTACTGCAGAACAATTAGTCTCTAAACTAGTAGGACAGGATCATTTTTGGACTTTCCCACCGATTGATCAGACTGAAATGCTCGGCCTCTGTGCTGCTGACACGTCCGCTCCTTGTACAGATGCTTCGACGATATCTGATTATTCAACTGGCAGTAAATTGGTGGATGGTGACTAGCGGTGTGTGCAATCTAGCGTGCGGTGCATTACACCCTCCTCTTTTGGGCTAAGTCGTTCTTCAGTTACTTGGATGTACCTGCATTCCCCCCCCCCAGTAGTGAGTGAATGATAGTGTTCTCTCCCACCGAAGCTCGAATCCAGTACCCATAGTTTCAAACACCCAAGCGGTCTAGTGAATAACGCTTCGGCGGAGGTTAAGACACTATTGACCAGCGTACTCTTGCCCTTCCACCAACAACCTGATGGTTCTCAACAGTCTTTTCTCTCTCTGTCTCTCTCTAACTCTTCATGCCAATAATGCTTCATAATCAAAACTTGAAAATCAATCTGTCAGTCAATCAGACAAATCTCAATTCACTGATATCAAACAAAAGTTGAAGCCAAGTTTTACACACACACACGCACACACATACACGAACAGACAGGTGGCGAAAGTAAGAATTTATCTAAAGTATCGATCCAACAGGTGTATGTGTAGGCACAGAATACAGTAGTGATTCTATAGAAAGTCACATTTCTCAAAAACATACCTGTTTATACAGACAGAAAGATATCGAGATTAGCTGAATAAAAGGAGTTCTGACGTTAAATCTTTCGCTTCGTTTTTTTATTCACTTGACACAAAACAAGTGTTTGTTGACATGTGTATATGTGCATGTGTGTGTGTATGTGAATGTGACAGATATGCATATTTATTCAAAGTATATGCGTGTGTGTCTGTTTGTGTGCCAGAGAGAGACAGAGAGAGAGATTGTATGTACGCACCTCTTTCTCTCGATCTATGCTCAAGCTTACAGAGTGTTGTATACATTAGGCACCTTCGTTTCTCCTCTCTTTCTGCGTGTGTGTGTGAGTGTGTATAACCAACCAACTGTGATTGTGAAACATGATCAGTGAAAAACGAAATCTGGAATGTGATATCTGACAGATCATAACGTCATAAAAACCTCTTAAAGTATTATAATTTAAAGTAGACACGGTGAACAGTAATTTCACCATATACAGCCCCGAAATTTTTCACTATTTCAGGATATTGGTACTAGTCTCTTACTCAATCTCAGTTCCTTTATCTCACCGTAAAGTGTTACCATACGTCAGCATAAAATTAAAAAATATTAAAGAATAATTGAGCCATTTTTTTTGAATGCCAATTACACAGTAAGTCGTGAGTTTCACGTTTAACACTATCTTTACCAAGCAGAACGTGGGTGGGCGGACGTGTGAAGTAGGGTATCGTAGGGGCTTTATGCTTGGTCGTGCCGGCAAGCATGTAATCATTCATGATGACTTTTAGTCCAGTCCTACCTGATGAAATACAGCAAAGGGGAGGGAGAGTTGTGAATAGAGAGGGTGTTAATAGGCAGACTATATGCATCTAGGCCATTTCTCATATGAGTTGTTCAGGTGTCTGTCGACTATGATAGTAACGACAGGCTGCCTGGTTTCAACATAGAACTTTGCACCGATTTATTGGATATTCTAAGTCACAAGGAGTGGATGAATCTGCACCACTGAGAACGATTTTGAGCCACATCACCAATTGTCTCCAGCCATTGATAGTAACGAGTTGACTAAGTAGTGGCACACAACTTACCCTACTGATAACCTTCCAGACCCTTCTCCCCAAAGTGGCATCGTCTTTTCCGAATAACCCAGGAAAGACTAAGTGTGGGGGACCAATAACGAATCATAAGTAAGATGCAAGAGTTAACAAGTTGTAAAAGTAGAAGTTGAGTGATTCCAGATTGTCTTAACTTCTTGATGTAGAAGGTGGTCACAGGGAGCATTCTCTTAGAAACAGATAGGATAAGGGGAGATGAAGAAGTGTTAGAGGATATAACTATACCATGGTATTTTAAGCTCGACTTATTCTCTATATCAGTGCCCTCTATGCTACAAGCATCGTGTGAACTAATGACTTAGTGTAGATCACCTTTGCTCCTGAAGGTGAAATTAACTGTCTGACATTTGGAGAGATTTAACGTAAGAACATTAAGTCTAGACTACTGGCTAATGTCGGACAGAAAGCTATTCAATTTGGAACAATCACAAAAAAAGAATCAATGAAAAGTAACAGAAGAATCTATATGAAAAAAATTCGAAAATCAAATTTCACTCACAATGAGTTCCATACTAAATTATTGTTATCAGTATTATTCCCTCAGATTTCGGGTGGAGTAGTGGAATAGAACTAGCTTCACGGTTACCCATAAAAACCCTCATCTCCTCCACATCAACATCGGCTCCACAATCAACTCGTTCTCTCTCTCACTCAGGTTCAACTCGACGGTCTGTTTTAGTGTGAATTCGATCCATCTTCCACATTTTCTTCTACCTATTTGTTGTACAACATGGTCGTTGGTCGCCTTGTTGCCAATATACCTTCTTGTCTGGCTATTTTTCTAGTTAGCCATCTATCTGATCTTCATTATGAAGCGAAGGCAGCTGTTGAAAATATGTCTACAGTAGCCTTTTTCGGAAATGGTTTATTTCGGTCACGCGAAAATTTTTGAACCATATAGGAACACCCACTGACTCGACATCAGTGTCCCGAATCCAAAGCTTCTACCTGACTGCGGAATGGTTTCAGTCAGTTTAATGTGACGGTCTTGTTTTTCCCATTCTGACCTCGTGGTTCCGATATTTTTCTTCGTCCCCGACTCCGATGTCTGCAGCTGAAACGATGCCGTCCTTGTGAAAAAATTGCCTCAGAAGTGGGATTTCTCTAGTTGAGGTGAAAATGCCTGAAGAAAGGTGAATTCAGAACAGCTTCAGGCTGATCACACACACACAGAGAACCTATTCAGAGGTGAAGAGATTAGGGTTCTTTATCTGTACAGGAGACCTTTACCGCCACCCACTACGATTAGCGCGTATAGAGTACTTTGACAATGTATCATTTTTCGTTGCCAACCCCTTTTCGAATTCACACTCTAATCATAGCGGAGAAGTGGCTTCGTTCGCGTCACTATAGCTCATGTGTGTGTGCCCGATTTTGTAGATCATAATCAAAACAGCCGACTGAATCGAAATTCCTACTATTTTAAACTATCATCCCTGCTAGTCTCTCACTCGTTCAATCAATCTCACTCTGTTTGACATAACTTGAGAAAATCAATCAATGAAGAATGCTTATTCTGACAAACGAAACTAGATTTGTCTCTGAATGTATTCTATAACAAATTATCATTATTATGGTGCGTCGGTGGCACAGTGGTTAGGACTCTCGCCGACAATATACATGGTCCGGGGTTCGATCCCCTGCCGACGCACACCCGATATCTATGGTCGGCCTGCGAAATTTGGGCTACCGATATTCATGCTGAAAATTCCATACTTGTACTGAAAATACGGTATGGCATCAAGCTGTAATCAAAATATAAAAAAAATAAAAACTATTCCCTTGGCAGTACATCTCGACTTCACCCTGTTCCCGGAAGCCTTCATTTGTAGCTGGATCCGCGATTGTCTCTAAGCTCTGAAGTCTACAGCAGTAGCCGTTTGAGATGTGATTTCCGTGATACACGCATGCACGCACACACACAGACAGCAAGTCTCTGAATGATATAGAAAAACTCATTTCACATTAGTGTCGATAGTCCTCATCTTCCTCTCCTTACTGATAGACGGAGTGCAGAAGACTTCCATAGTGATCTCGGTCTGCCTGGTTGCTTCTTCCTATTCTGACTTCGTGGCTTTGATATCCTCATCCCTAACTCCGCCTCTAGTTGAAACAATACTGCCTACATAAGTCTTATGTTCAATCCGTCAACAGACAACCATCTTGAGGCGTGAAATTTCTGCAATTATCTCAGCCTCTTTGGTGAAATTATCACATACACAGAGGCAACGTTAATAATAATGTCACATTCAGAACTGTATCAGGCCGACGACACACACAGTCTGTACAAAGGTGTTGGGGGGGAGTTACACTTGACTCCGATGTAGAAGAATTTACCACCGACTGAGAACTGCCGGAAGAGGTGACTGATACATATAATTTTGACAGCCTAATTTAGAGAACCCTATAAAACCCTAAAGGCTGGAGAGACAGCATAGCTGACTCATCACTCATCTGAGGGAAACATATTGCGGTTATCTCACACACCCAATTTTTCTTTGGAGCCAATGCAGCTACTGTGTGTGTGCATTAGTTTTTAGAAGTAACCTCACATTTACGGTTCACACTTTAGGTGCATTCCTCCCTTGTGTTTGTGTATAACAAACTGTGATTGTGAAACAAGAAATGTGGTAACAGATCATAACGACATCAATAAAAACCTTCATAATATTTTGACAGGCAATATTAGCTGACATAGGCTGAAGGTGGAAGAGAGTTAGCCAGTATTGGGTGGCCAAACGAAAACATGGCTTCATCGGTCAATGAAATCAATGACAACAGTTAGTTGAAGCCAGCCAGTCAGTCAGCCGCCACACAGGGAGGTGTAGACTGCCTGCCTACTTGGTTGGGGTCCTTAGGATGGTAAGAACCAAAGAAGGTTAGAGACAAATTGGTGGTGGTATGGCTCAAAATCATCGTTCTCAATAGTGCATACCCATTCACTTTCCGTGTAATCTCCATTAAAAATCTATTGACTTTCCATGTTACTATCCTTTCTTTCTCTCGTATTATTTCTGCTCATTTTCGTCCTTTCGAATCTCTGTTCACTCTCCTTCTTTTGCGTTACTTTGTGTGTTTCGTGGAATGCGACAAATTGAAGTACTGATTCACTTCTATGCTGGGACCGACCAGTCAGTCAGACTTGGAGGAGATCATGTGATCAGCGGGTGAGGGCTGGCTTATGGGCAATCGTAGAGCCCGGACGAAAGCCCTGTATTCCCATTGGGATCCGAAAGAATGGTAATGAGAATATTAACTACGAGTATCATATAAACCGATAAATCGTTACAAAAACAGCAGTAATTAAAACTCACTCTGTTTCCTAACTTCACATAAAATAAGGCTTGCTAAAAATTCAATCACTTGTCCTCTAGCCTGTTGTAAAACTACGATGGCACCGGCCAACTCAGCTTTTGCTTTCACGTTCAACCATGGATCTAGGCTTGACAACAGTTGAATTAAATCCGGCCTCTGTGATAATGATGTTGTCAAAGAATTTGAGCCATTGAACAATAGTGTAGAACCAGTCATCTGCAGCAGTTGATGTTCTTGACGTTGAACTGTCTTAGGCATTTGAAATTGACACAAATTCGCTTCCAGGCGGGCATAACTTGTTAATGGTAGGACAGTCAAAGCACGATAACGTATTTTCACGCGTATTTGAACACAATTTGTAATTGAATCACCACTGGATCTTGATTTCGTCTTGGATTTTGATTTTCGTTGTAAAGGTACATGTTCGTGCGGATCTGAAGGTTGCTGCTGTTTCAAACAACTTGAAAGCATTATTGAATTATTACTGGCATTAGGATTATTTGCTGAGTCCGGAGAATACCAACTCTCAACGTCACCCGAATTTGAAATATCTAATAGATTAATATTGATTGTTGCTATGGGAACAAATGAAACAAAAAAATAACAAATGAATATAGTGGGATTTACTACCCAAATATTTTGTCAATCGACTCAAGTCATAGATTTTTTTCCACTGCGGGTTTGACTGATCTTGAGTTTGTTCGTGAAGTGACTGAAACCTGAATTCAGAGAAGACTACCGGGGCAAATGAAGACGGTAATTTAAAAATCCATAAATCCGGGGATTTATTATTTATTAATTGTTCCCTTAGGTTCTGAATAGAACATTAGGCTTCAACAGCCGTGTCATATCTTCATTTTGTCCTATTTTCTGCCGTCCTCTTTAGATGACTGGCTAGCCCAACAATTGTCCAAAGTCTCCTACCTCCTTCGACTCACATGATCTCCAACATTTCACACGCGGACTCAGTCGCCCGACTTGTCGTTTCCCATTCGGGTTCCACTCGGATGATATTCTGACTGGTGCCCGGTGTCATTCGATGGTCTTCTCAGTATGTACCCAGTCCATCTCCATTTCTTTCAGAATACTTGTTGAGCAACCGGTGGTTGATTATTTTGTTCCCATTGTTTTTTTTTGCTAATTCTTTTCACCGGCCATTTGATCTTCAATATGCAGTGAAGGCAATTGTTGATAAAAGTCTGCCACAGTAGCCTGTTGGAAATGCTTTTCATGACTCGCTGGTCAAATTTCTGACTCATAGAGAAGCACTGACTGACTGACTTCACGCTTGTGTTGAACAGAATCTGAATCTTGTTCTTTACGCTGAGTGCAGGAGATTTTCAGATTGATGAAGGTGTGGCTTGCCTTTCCGATTCTGGCTGACTGATTTTGACATCTTCATCCGTTTTGCTGACTGTAGTTGAAACGATACTTCCTAGCCGGATAAATGAAGTAAGTAACCTTGTTCACACTTCTCCTGCTTATAGTGATTAGTGCTGATTGTTGTGCTTGTTGGTTGGTTATCTTCATCACCTCCATCTCTACCTTCTCCATGTTCACATGGAGTCCTGTCTTCGCTGCCAGCCCCTTCTACCAGTTTGTTGGTTTCCGCCTGCAAGTCTTCGAATTTGTATGTGGCATCTGACATAAATCATCCATTCCCGAATCCAGAACTTCTTCAGTCCTTTTTTTATCGGTCGCCCAGAGTAATCTTGACTCCTCGCTCCCTACTTACAGTGTGACCCACAATCGACTCCCCCATAATTAGGAATATCATTGGTGATAATAGGCAGCCAGCCCTGTCTTACTCCCATATGCACTTCAAACGCCTCGCTGAGTTTTCCTTTGTGGATCACCTGACACGTGACATTGTCATATAGCCAGCTGTTGAATGAGGTTGATAAAGACTTGGAGACTGCATGCCGTAGTGCTGAAGTAGTTTCCAAATTACTTCTCAGTGAACACTGTCAAAGGCCTTTTCAAAATCGACGAAGTAAAGGTACAGGTTTGACTGCCATTCTATGCTTTGTTCTGTGATGACGATGAGCAAAGCTGCAATCTGGTCAGCACATGATTTGCCTTTCCTGAGTCTAGCTGGCTCCCATTGGCGGAGTTCTGCATACAGTGCAACTTTTATATTCTCTCCAGGATGATGCGACTTAGTATTCTACGTGGCGTGGAGAATAGGATTATTCCACGCCAGTCCTTGCAGAGGCGTGAGTCGTCCTTCTTAGGCAGCTTGACGAGGTAGCCTTTCTTCCACTCACTAGGCACCTTTCGCTCCTTCCAATTTTTTTTACAATAATGGCGTCAGCATATCCGCTGCAGTGTCTGAGTCTTGAAATTTCGGTCGTATTCACTATTTTGCCTATCCTGTATAAATCGAATTGTGAGGAACTAAAGCAGTACAAACCCCACGAATATTCGTCTATACTTAACTGCTGGCGACGCAGTCAGTGGGACATCTTCAGATGTAACTGAGACCGTAATTTTGGCGCTAATAAATGAGAAAGATATAGTGAGAAGTTCATAAGCAAGCATATCGCCAATAAATTCGAAAAGGACTGCTTATGCATCTGTCAACAAAAAGCCTCCCATACATACGATGCCTTCATAAATTACTTTATAGGGCCGAGAGCGAGTAGACTCCGGTATTCTTCCCAGAGGTGCTCTCTTGTGGTCATGCTCATGCCAATTAACTACTTTCATGAGGGGTTGTATGTAGTGTTCCTCACAAAAGTGTGAAAGGGCCAGTGTGAACAGCCAATGTCTGAAGCTTACGACACCACCGGACATGTATGTAAGACAAGCTGGTCTACTAACATGCCTAAAGTGAGCTGGGAAACCATGACTACAAATCTACAGTATGTAACACAGGCTCCAGGATTCAAAATGGATTGAGTGACGTATGGACCTGTTTTCGTCACCAGGGTTCTATGAGAAGGTAAGTCCTCACGCTGCTCCACTACTTTGTGGATAAGACTTCAAAAATGGGGGTTGTTTCTTAACACTGCCACCACCCACTCCACTGTGAGCTTCAGAGCAGTGTATTCCAGCCTTCTTACCGAATACAACGATTTTGTGTGGTTCACTTTTTAATGCACCATTCATGGGTGATATAACAGGTAACCAGTGGGCTACAGCAGGCTGAGTGAATGTAAGAACAAATGCTCGCTACTGATGACATTAGCTAGTTCCAGTTGCGCTATTTCATGAATTCACAGAAGTTGAAATTCATGAGATGGCCATTGAGTCGGATCCCATTGATCGAATGGTCTATGAGCTCGCCTTGTAACCGGAAGGTCCGTGGGGTTTCGAGCCTCAGTGGCGTGGATGCCTACTGATTAAGAGTCCCAGACTAGGTTGACAAGACAGATAGTTACCCAGTACTCCCTGTCACTAGTTTTTCAATGGATCCCCAACTAATGTCAGCTAATGATGAAATCCTGAAGTAGTAATATAATCGAAAAGTTAAAAAAAGCAATTCAGAAAACTTTAATCAGCGGTAAGCTACAAAGCTCACTTCCATTCAGGAGAAAAACGAAGTATCTGGGATTAGCTACCACCAATTCCTGTGTCCAAAACAACTCATTTGTTCCTTTACACACTGAATACTACTCCACTGAGCACCAAAGGCCACTGCGACTTCCTGAAGTTGTGCAGTGGGAATTGGTGACCACTGGATTCGTCCATGTCGCGGATATCAAGTGGATTTTCATCGAAGGCATTAATCACGGCAGCGCTACATCACGGATGAGTTGATAAAGTTTGAATTCATGGTGTGGCGTTTGCTACTCAAAATTTTTACCAGTAGTATATAAAGAGACGTACATCAGCACACGGAAATATAAAATAGCAGGGATTTGATGTCAGAGAGAGGCGGCGAAACATGGTGTTATTGTTCATATCGATGAAAGAGTTCTCATAAAGAAGAAATATAATCGTGGTCACCACCCTGGGGTGAAAAAAAGTTTGGGTATTAGGAACCTACGATATGTATAACTTCAGAAGGGAACTGTAGAGGTAATTCTAAATTGTAGTGTCGACACACATTCTTCCACTTATTATACATGGGGTTAGTCGCTCTATGCACTACTATTCATACTGACATAAAGGGGGAGGAGTGGGTATACAACTGCCTATCAGATTTCGGATTTATCTATTATTCTGATGATTTCGTTGAATACCATTTCAGTTGAGGGCTTCTGGGGTAGATTTCAAAACAGGATAAGGGCGATAAACGGGTCATAAAAAGAACACCAATCTTCGATCATCTTGACATGAATACATGTATAAAAACTGGGTAACCTAAAATACTGACACTCTCCATAATAACTGGGACATATTTTTAAGTCATATCAGGGAAAAATACCCTGCTTATTAATGTGTTTTCATGCATTTCTCTTGTAGATAATAAACGTTATCATTTTCGTCTAGAAACCACTAATGTTTCTGATTGGTTAGCTCGAAGTCACTCATGTGCCTTTGCATACCATAGAGACTTTATGGGAGGGAGGGAGGGAGACAGCGAGAAGAATATGCCACACAACTTACCAACTAGGGTAGGTTTCTTATCAACTTTTGATGTAGACGATGACGTTTTGAATTTTCGGCGCTTTTGTCCAGCACATCCTCCATCAGTATCCCCATTATTCATAATGGAAAAGTCATCCAAAATAGCCGAATTACGAAAAGCAGTAAAATCTGGTGGGGAGACTGATCCGTCTTCAGCAACAGCTCTTGTACACGTCATCATGGCTTTACGCATTGCTGCTGGTGGACTTGTGTTTTTGGCGTCATCACCACGCCGACGATTCGACGGTGAATTGTTACGATGACGATGCGAGGAGGGAGATGATGTGGATTTACCGATTTCACATGCCTTCCATATTTCAATTGTTAGATAAGAACAGTCTGTTAGACCACTGAAATAAAGAGAAACGAGAAAATGTCATTATTGTCAGTGTAGAATTTGTCTAGCTAAATGTGTATGTTCCGATAATCGCATTGACCTCGACCTACTAGTTTGACGCATAATATAACTGACCTCACACTCATTATTACATGGTATTTGGTAAATTATATTGGACACATTGAGTCCCTAAGCTGACATATTTTCGGACAGTTGGGAACACAGAGATCTTAGATTGTTTAATCCTGATCCCAGGCTATGGTGGAGATACATGTAATTGACATACTCACTAATGTGTTGAAATCTGAACATAACAACCCTCATTTTCTAACACATATATATATATACTGAGTAGTACACGGAATCCAATTCATCACTTCTGAGTTACAAAACGAACAAGGTGAGTTGGCCATGTTGGATTGTAGAATAAAACGTAAACAACACAGTAGTGGGCGGTTAGATACTGGCATTTATGGTGGAAAACGATACACACACACTCTAATAAATACGTTGACTAGACTTCAATTCATCTCATCCACAATTGGTAAACGAAGGTAGGTTTAGTTAAATATCTATATAGTCGAGCCTTGCATAGAATTCTCAATGAGGCTGGAATTGGTCGGGTCGGTATTTAAACCAACCAACCATCCCACTCATTTAGAAATAAACTTTGTCGACTGAAAGACGCAATTAAGACTCAATTGTAACAACAGAAGGCAAGACACGGAAGCCAAAATATATATAATTCATTATTCAAACGGCTGTTTATATATCTGCAGTTTATATTCGTTAACCAACCACTGAGCGTGTGATTTCGATTTGCGTCAAAAGACATGAAATAGCATGTTCAAATATACATAGTATTCTGTTGCTTGTGCAGTATATAACCGTGGGAAACGTATTCTGTCTCTATCATCAAATAGGATGTTCAAACAGATATACCGTATTCTTTTGTTCATGCAGTCTTGAAGTGTGCGAATAACATTCCAACTCTAGCATCAAACAGAATGTTCAAATAGGTATATTGTATTATGTTGCTAAAGTCCAACTGAACTGTGGGAATATGTGAGAATCATCTTCAATTGGCAGAGACTGTCTGTTTCACACCACTACACAAATAACAAAAATCACATTTAATTTACCAAATACTAATATGCATTTACAAAGATGAAACCAGCATATCAGAGTCAATTAGACCTTCGCAAGTTCATAAACATTTAACTAGACGTAGAAGGATTTCCTTCTTATTAAGTTAGACAACCTAGAAAAAAAAGAGGCCGGCCACTGCATTGCATTCACTTGCATGTAATCACACAATAGGTTGAGTTAATGGGACAGGGTGATGTGATTAACAGTGGCAATAATTTATGCTGGAAACCTTGTCATCCAATTGTTTATACTGCATCTCATCACTGTGTGTGATGATAAAAATAAACTTATCTAATACATAGACTAGAAAACAGGCATAAATGACCACTGTTCAAAACACTGTTTTGATAAAGTCAAGAGGACATACTGTGCGGACAGTAGAAAAAGTAGAGGAAGACTTCCTGGTTCTCATTGAAAAGATGTGGTAAAAGAAAGGTTACAAATACTAAACAAACAACTGACTATGGGGAAAAAAGTCTATGTTGACTCAACTTGATTTTAAAGGTGATAAAATACTGCAGGAATACCTCACTAATCGAATAACTTATCTCCTACAGTTAAGTTGGTTAGTTCCCGTTTATCCCGCAACGGAACATGCCCCTTATTGGTGCAATCAAAAGTTCTCATGTTAACTCTGTGGCAACAATTACATTGGAGGAGAACAGAAAGAAGGGCACTTCTCAAAAGGCCTGAGTCTCAAGGGAACAAGCGCTTTCATCATAACAGTGTCATTGTCAGATATCTTGTCGATGTGTGCTGGTCCCTCTACGAAATCCTTTAAAATTATCAATCGACAATGTGTAGTCCAATTCTCCTCAAGTTTGGTCAACAAGTCGCTATTAAACTTCCAAAACCTGACTTATGTGTGAGTGTGTGTTTGTTCAGAAAGAAGCAGTTATAAATTTTTCCTCGCATCCCACCTTCCGATATCTAGATACCTTTACTCTCTCTCTCTTTCTTTCATTTGATTGCGTAATCTTTAACCCTTTGGCATTCTGTAACTTTGCTTGTCACTTGATTTCAGGTGAGCTGAACTCACCACATTCTTACTCACTGACGAGGATATCAAAGCGAGAATCGGGAAAGCAATGCAAGCTTTCATTTCTCTCAAGCCTTCATGGAGGTAAACAGCACTCAGCATGGAAAACAAGAAGGGGATTTTCAACTCCAGTGTGAATTCAGTGCTACTATACGGATCAGAGACCTGGCACCGCATCACGAAGGGCACTTCGAACAAACTACAGACTTTCATCAACAGCTGTCCTCACCCAATACTCAAGATCAGATAGCCAAGAAAGATCAGCAACAGGGATCTCTGGCAATGAGCAAACCAACCCAGCAGCAACCAACTGTGCAACAAATATGCAGGAAGAAATGGAGGTGGACTGGCCATACTCTGAGAAAACCATCAAGTGACATCACACGACAGGCTTTCGAGTGGAACCGGAACGGGAAGAGGCGAGTTGGTCGTCCAAGGGTGATATGGAGGAGGTCATGTGAAAAGTAGATGAGAGCATGTGGGTAGACGTGGAGCCAGGTGAAAACGTTGGCAGATAACTGAACGCAATGGAGACGTGAGGCTGAAGCCCTATGCTTCTCTAGGAACTAAGGGAAACAATAATATAACATAATGATTATTAGTTACTCATCATTCCACATACCTCTTGGCTTTATTACGTAACCATTTTGTTTAAACTTGAACTCCCTCTAGGTACAATTGTGCTTATAAGTGTAATTTATGCGTAGTGTTTATTAAGTTTAAAGTCCCTCCTGTCAACTGATACCTCATCTATGTTAAAATTGTTCACTAAATAAACCTAATTAGTCAATTTATTTAGGCTGCCAGCGGGGCTAATGAGAAGTCGACGAAATAACACAACGATGGTACCCCAACTGATCTCACTGTGTCTGCACAAACCGCCGCTGTTGTTCTTGCTTTATGCGAATTCATAAAAGGTGTTTGTAAACGATTTTAGAAAGATTGACTATTCGCGGCTAACAAAGGTAGAATGCTCATCAACCCAGCAAGTGGTAGGTTCGGGTCTAGTTTCTGGCCCAGGATGGACTCCTAAAACCTAACCTAGTTTACTTCCTTGCCGACAGTTACTTCAGAGAGCTTTCATTTCCATCAAAGCGATACTTGACTCATCGTCTTCTCTCACTCAGGTTCCACTCGATCGATGGTCTGCTGCTTGCGATGGCGTATGATGTCATTTCACTCTCAAAGTTCTCTTCTCAGTGAGTGTGTTCAGTTCATTCAATCATCAGTTTCTTCTGTATATTCTTGGGAGATAGATTCTTCATAATTGGGTTCACTGACCAACAGAATTTCCTTGTTGCCAATGCTTTCTCAACAGGCGAACTGAGGCAAGTGTTCATGAGTCTTTAGTAGCCTCTTGGAAATACTTTTCATTGAACTGTCAATATTTTCATCCAAATAACTATCATTAATTGTGTACAGCAGACAGCGTTACAAGATCGACTTCAGGGTTATTTTTACTGAATGAAATTTCAGGTTAGAATGTGATCTTTAGACACCGTTATTTAAGGTAAGATCTACTCTACATATCGTCATGGCAAAAAGCCGATATTAATCGATAAATAATAGGTCCTCAATCGCCTTTGCAAACTCTGATTGGCAAAATAAAGGTCGCTGAATGGGTAACTAATTAAAGACCCTCTACAACAACAGCCAATCACAGTGAAGGTTACATGACTTTTATAGAGAACTCTAAAATGTTTATTCCGAAATTGAAGTCGGTGCGATAAATAGAAAATGATGAGGTCTAGCGTAGAAGCAGAGGACAGAAGATGAAAGCATCTTCATGATTACACCACCGCCGCCCCACTCAGGTTCAGACAACCGTCAGAATCATACGAAAAACAAATAAAACTGATCTGAACTACAAATTTTCACTGTCATTAGACAAAAAACCTTTTTCAGACTGAAAGTTGAGTTTGATCATTCAGAGAACCATTGACAACCAGGGAGTACTAGGCAGAAGTTTAGTCCTGCGAGTTTCGGGACTCTTCAGCCTCACTACTGCAGATCCTGAACTCACCACCTTCAGGGTTATGAGGCCAAGATCGTTGACCACCATTCACCAGCCACTTGGATCTGAATTAAATAATCGACCCTGAATTCTAAGTTTTCATCGATTCTAGATTGCCATTCTGATTGCGATCGGCAAAGGTTAGAATTCATGCATAAGTAACTGAATTTTTGTCTCAGTTCTCAAGGTATGGTCAACGGTCTTGTTTGGCGTAGAAGGACAATACAACTAACCAGGACTCCTTACTGCTGGTGGTTTTCAATACTTCTTACTCTAACTGATGATACCAGTCTGTGATATCGAACATGAAACAAAACACAACAACAACACAAAACAACACCCCGGACAAATTAACTATGGATGAAAAAGGAAACTCACCTTAGGTCGAATTCTTCACCCCAAAATAACATATCTGTCATTTGTTTGACAGTTGTACGTGCGCAGATTGTACCATTCACCAAGATTGTACAAAAATACCTATAATAATAACAATAATAATAAATAATGGCATGTTAGAAACCGTCAAATTTCAACTTCAGACACCTATAGGTGCATGAACGACGCGCCAATGAATTTGGAACGATCAGTTACTGTTATTACTAGTCAGCAGCCGAGGCACATCTCCTATTCTCTGAAGTTCTCCTCATCTAGCCCCACGATTGCTCATAGAATTTCATCCCCCCCCCCATCTCACACAATCTCCTCCATGTCACCCTCGGAATGATTAGAATAATAAATTCTCCGTTAGAATCAGCAAGACTCTTCAACTCAATGAGGAATGGCGCCAGAGGGGAAAAGTCATCGGCAAAGTCAAAGCCGGCTGATGAGTGTCTTTTCTCGATGAAAGCGAAAATGTGCATGTGTGTGTGTGGGGGGGTATCTGAACCTTATTTTTGTGGATTTTACTTCCTTTCGACTTACTAACACTACTATTATGCGATGGAGAAGTAAATAATTCTGGCAAAGTAAAACTTTAGACATCCGAAGGACGGGGTAGGATAGCGGCGCCAATGATCTTGGAATAAGCAATTGGTTTAAAGAGTAAGTATTGGTCACCTAACTCAGTCTGAACCCTAACCTATCCCCTAAATCGCAACATCGTCACCACTATCATCATTGAATAGAATGGCGGCAGTCAAATCTCTATCTATGAAAGTGATCAACTTTGAAAAGAACCTTCGACAAAGTTGACTGCAAAGTGATTTGGAAATTAGATAAAGACACTACGAAGTGGACTAAATATTTACCAACATTATTCAACAGCTATATGAATGAAGATTCCACGCGCCAAGCAGTTCATTGCAGAAAACTCAGACATGTCTTTGAAGCGGAAAAAAGAGAGAGGACAAAGCTGCCTTTTATCACCGATAATTGGACTGATCGTGGACTGGATAATCCCACAGAGCATGGGAACAAGGAAACAGGAAGAAGAAGCAAAAGATTTACATTTTCACCGAAAAATCCCGAAGATCTACAGGTGAAAATCCACAAGTTGAAGGAAAAAGATAGCAGTGAGGACAGGACACTTCATTTAAACATAGACAATTTGGTATTCAAAGGAGATGATGTGTACAAGAAGTAGTTAAACGAAGACCCGACAAAGCTATCAAGAGAACTTATCATGCTGCAAAACTCATCTTTCTTAACAGCACTAAGCGGATGCTTCAACAGACCGGCATTCACCAATCCTCGACACTTCAAAATGCGCATATATATATATATATATATATATATATATATATATATGGAGCATTTGCCAAAGTGGTTGAAAAGAGCTGAAGTCAAATTGCCAAAAACTTCAATAACAAGGCACCTTGTGGCTTACGGACACTCTGCCAAGTCATTCATCATTGTTATTTTCAGCAGACAAATAAAACAGGAAGAGGCTTCGGAAATTGGAGTTTACAAACTAAGTCTTTGTATATGAAAGGAAATGGTTGTCACTCTGAATCTACCATGATAGTATGTTTTACTTGTCAACTGCTAATAATAATAATACTTTAATAATACTTTATTTTACCTTTTATTATTATTATTATTCCTGATTCATTTAAAAGTATCTTGTATCACTACCATTACCTTAACTCGTCTTAACATTACTATTATAACATTATTATTATTACTACTATTAATATTACTCAGTTCGCAATTCTTGATATATTTAAGTTCTTTCTCTAATGACTAGACTAATTGTTTATCTACGTGATGTAATTGAAGCGTAATACATTTTATCTTAATTTGAACAGGACCCGGAAATCATTCACACGTGTCTCTTTGAATGATTAATTCAATGTAGTTTATTTACTTGTCAATCTTATACCCCCAATGTATTTCCAATAGTATATGTATATATATCCCTGTATGTAGAGTATGCAGCTGACGAGTTCTACCAAAATTTGATAAATTCATTAAATCCTGCTTTACTAACTCTTGTTCCTTGTTTTAAATTCATATCGGGAAATAAATGTGTTCCCAAAGCACAGAGATGGGACTATCACATGAATCATAAATAAAACGTGTAATTTATTCGAAGAGTTCATATTTATATACTGTTTGATGTAGAGGAGGGGGGCATATCCTTTCTTTTCTGGTTTGCTTACCGCTCACTGCACTATACTAAATGGGTTCAGCCACTAGTTCGAGTACAGACCGACCTTTCAGGATAAACTTTGTGATAAATATGATTAATAATAGTTAGATTAACAGAGAAAATCAAGTAAATATTATAATTTGTAAACACCCATTACTGTCGACTCACTAACTTTGAGCATTCAACTTACAGCTAGTAGTGGTCAAGTCCAAGTCCCACTTGTCTTGAGCAACTGGGAAGTAGCATTATCCTTCACCCAATACGTGCGGCTTATAGCCCGACATATGGGAAGCCCGTGTCGGTCATTTGGGCTGTTTCTACAATCTATTTGTTGTCTTAGAAAGATTTTTGAATATTTGAATGTAAAATACACTACTCATCTTCTCTACTAATTACCCGGTCAAGAAACTAACTAGGGAGTCGTAGATTGTCAATGGTTGACAGTCGATAATTGTGTGTTTGAAACAAGCAATAAAGGTTAATAAAGCAGGATTTAATAATGGATTCATCAAATTTCGGTATAGTGGTTAGGACGCTCGCCGACCATGCACATGGTCCGGGGTTCGATCCCCGGCCGACGCACTCCTTTACCTCGCTGAGCCAGAAATAATGCTGGTGCAGAGGAAAGGTTGGGCATGAGGCTAGCAACCCCATCCTGTAAAATAAACACTGCTACAGAAACTTCAAGCTACAAGCTTGAAGCCCTATGTTCCACTGGGGAACGTGTAGGAAATAAAAAAAAATTTAGGTAGAACTCCTCTTCAGCTGAATACTCTACATACACGGATATATATACTATTGAAATTATATTGGGAGATATAAGACTGATAGGTAAACGAACTACATTGGATTAGTCATGGAGAAAGACAGGTGCGAGTGTTTTCCAGGCCATGTTCAAACAGATAAGGGGAGAGAGAGTATGAGAGATCAAAATTAAGATAAATTGCATTACTTAGATCAACAATCAGTCATTAGAGAATATAACAAGAATTGCAAGTAGAGTAATATCAATAGTAATAGTTATAACAACATTAATAATAATAATAGTGCTGAAGTGAGTTAAGACAATCCTACTGATATGAAGATACCCCACCCCTCCGACCAGTCACCAGTAACATCCAGCAACAACCACTAATAAATGGGAGAAATTTAGAGGCCACACCTTTCACTTATCTAGTTAGGCAGTACCGCCTAAACTACTGATAGCATACAGCTAGACAGGAGTGGAAAAGCGAGACAGACACCTTCACTAATCCGAAATCAGTGCGTGGAAAGTACCTACTACTCACCCACTCACTCAGCATAAAGAACGAGATTCAGATTCTATTCAGTACCACTAATGTAATGTCAAGTCAGTTCTTCAAATATGGATCAGAGACTTGGCTTACGCATTGTCAAAATCACTTCCAACAGGCACTTGTAAACTTTTGCCAACAGCTTCCTCCTCCGTTTTCCATACAGGATGGCGGTCAGATGGCCAGTTATTTGGGATAAGCAACATGGGACACTGACAATAACCAATAGCCCAACAAATATGCATATGGAAATGAAGATAGACGGATAGATTGGACAATGCACGTTGAGGAGACCGTTAAGTAACATCCCACATCATATCAGATAGGTGTAACGGAATATTATTAGTTTGGAAAATCCCTCCTGGACGGTACTTATTTGATACTTATTTGGACATTTCAAATAACTTTGTAACTATTATCCGTTTTTCGCCTACACTGTATATCACTGTATTTGACATTCGCATATCATCGTATGTTGACTTTAGCCCTTATTATTTGTCTTTTTGCATGTTAAATCTCTAAATCGAATGCTTCTGTTTGTGGTTGACTTTGTGATGACATTGATAATGTGTTGCTTTTCCGACTGAGATGTCACTATGCCCCTGGACTCTGTGCGAGAATCGTTTGGTATGTGGTTCTGTGATGGACAGAGTTTTTGATCCCACTATGTTGTTGGGAATATTGTACTACTTGATTCTCAGGTGCTCGTTTTGTACTTAGACTAGAATGTGTAGCTGCCTAACGGCACTGTTGAGGTGATTTTTAGTTTCTGACTTGTTATTACTGTTGTTCAGTGGAACTACAGATTCCAGATGTACAAGTAATCATCTGTTTCCTGTCTGTGGGGCGTTTTTGTGACTGTGCGTGTCTCAATGAAGTTTCAGGCACCTAGCTATACAGTAGGATGCAGAGATGGGTCCCCTGCGTTCAGAAGATAACGAGTCGGGTTTTGTCGCCACAGTAGAACTTATAGTGCAACCTGAATGCGGGTTCAACACTGACATGAAGAGGATGCTGTTTAGTAAGAAGGCGGGGAAAGCTTATTTGGGAAACATGGAACCAGCTTAAATAATAGACTGAAGAGAACAGAGTAGAACGGAGATGTGCTCACCCACCCCCACCCAGATGAAGCTCCATGTTCTACTCAGAACCAAAGGGAATAATAACAAGGCAGACATATATCAGCGCAATTATCATATAGATTTGTATAGATGCGTGTGCAACTCACCTATTTTTCACGGTTAATCCTTTGGCTTCTTGGACCCATACATTTAAACAATTCTCTTTACGACGTTGAGTATCTTGTCCGGGATTAACCAATCGTTTTAAACTGAAAAACATAACAAAACATAAAATTATCTATTTGTGAAGTGTATAGGAATCATCACAGCAGACCATCTTTCTCTCCAAGTGAATCAACAAATTTGAAACTTACACGTTGTGGATCGATATCTTGCCTAGAAAATGAACCAATCAGAATTGTCTCATGGATAGATCGATAGACAGCCAACTTGTCGACTTATAGCGCCACCTAAGTCATTGGCTAGTTGTATGTATGTAGGGTTCTTTCTTTTCCAAATGTGTACAGATTATTGATTTCTTATGTAAATATTTACCCTTTTATCTAACTCATCTTGTAGTTTTGTGTTCTCAATAACGAAAAACAGGCTGGGAAAGTCACCAATTAGGCGTTGTATATATAAAACATTAGTGGTTGGCTGTTGACAAGCGACAATACTAGTGAACTGTTACTACTAGCTTGGGCGTCCCTGTCATCAATGCAACACACACACACACACACACACAAACGTTTGAGATTTCTTTCTAAGTAAACCAGAAAATGGTCCTTTGAACCACCTTATCAGAAAATTCTCACTTTATTGCCGATACATCGATGATACCTTCATTCTTTGTGAAAACGATGCCGACAGGAGTACAGTAATTACTGAATTCAATAAAGTACATTCAGCCATCAAATTCACGTGTGAAGAGAAATCCCAAAGTAGAATTGCCTTTGTACACATCCTTCTTACAAGAAAACCAAGTGGTAGTATAATGAGAAAAGAACTACTGCTGAGATGTACACTCAATGTACAATTCACATTCAACGAGGTTATTTACAGACAACAAGATGAGATCACAATGGGATCTCCACTGGGCTCATTACTAGCAGACTGCTTCATGGGAAGCCTCGAGAACGGCCCAGTCAAATCAACTATTGACAATTTCCAACTGTATGTTAGATTTGTGGACGACATCTTCATTATCTGTGATGACGGCCACGATCTCAATCAGTTACTGCAAATATTCAACAAATGCAGCAACAAAAAACAGCATCTGTGCCAAAAAAGATACTTTAAATGAACCTCGACTTCAAGGGAGATCTACTCTCAGTGACGTCCTTAGAAGGAGAATATCCACCTCTTTAAGAAGAACTTTCTTTGCGGCAACATTGAGAGTAGTCTTCTCTAGTCGCCTGCTGATCTGCAGAAGCCCAAAAGACAAGATTCAGCACCTGACCACTTTTATGTGCATATATCAGTTCACCTGTTGTTGTGGAGCCAGGTACATCGGTCGTTCAACGCGCATCCTGTCAAAAAGGGTCGAAGAACACTATCCAGCGTGGCTTCAGAAAGGAAGTAATGGCTGCATAAGGAGTGCAATGATCGAACACCTCGTCAACACTGGTCATTCCATCTCAACAAACGCCTCCTTCAAAGTAATCTACAAAGTGAAGAACAACCTTCCAAAGACAGTACGATTCTGTCTTCTTTGCATCGCAGAAGCCCTAGCCATTAGGCTAGAGGAACCAGAACTGTGCATACAAAAGAAAATTATTCAACCACTTCTACTCCCATGGTAACAACTGTGTTGATTTGACTTAACTTTTCTTTGTTTGTTTTGATTTGACTTGACTTTTGTTTGTACGCTTATTTTTCTACTTAAAACCCTTGTGTAATTCCGTATATTTTGTTTCAATGTACACCCTGAGTACAACTCTTTCATTAAAATATTCATGTTATTACGCAACTTTTCTTTAACAATCGTTTGTGACAACTGATCACTTTTGTTACTACCCTCTTGGATCAACACTTAATTCACCTGAACTTAATAATTGTAATTTCATTTTATTACGTAACTCTTCTTTAACAGTCGTTTGTGACAACTCATCACTTTTGTTACTACTCTCTTATATCAACATCCAATTCACCTGAACTTAATAATTGTAATTTCATTTTATTACGTAACTCTTCTTTAACAGTCGTTTGTGACAACTCATCACTTTTGTTACTACTCTCTTATATCAACATCCAATTCACCTGAACTTACTAACTGTATTTTCGTTTGACAAATTTAATGTACACACACATACAAAACAACCATATATATTTGCGATTGTACAGCTATGAAAATGAATTCGCCGAAAAGAGACTCTTCGCTGAACTACTTGTCTTCTGTCTATAATGAGAAATTTGCATAAGTACCTGAACAAGACAATATACACGTTTTCATAGCTTTGTTCCTCTCCAGTAAATAAGAAATTTAATAAGGATCCTCTGCTACAGGATCAGAGCCATATACTCAGAAGAAGTTATTGAAGATGAACTTAGGATTGATTGTATATGACACCTTAGTTGAAGATAGCTATCCAGAAAAGTTCATCAAGAAACACACGACCAAGAAAATAGAAAAAGTTTGTTCTCTATCTGTCAATAAGAAGCCTTTATATGTACGACTGTGATTCAGAGGTGAAGCAACGAATGAAATAATTACTAGCAAGTTAAGAAAATCTATTTGAAAAACTTTTAATGCTGGTAAACTACAAGTCATGTTTTCTACTCGACTGATGATGATTCCACGATTGAAAGATAAAGTATCTAGACCAGCTACTTCTAATTGTATCTACGAATTCAGCTACGCTTGTGGAGCGAGTTATACTGGCAGTTGCTCTAGGATCTTGATTCTACGTGCTCGCTCAAGAACACCTACCAGTGTGGCTAAATAAAGGTGTACCGAAAACTATTATCAACATTCAAGTATTGGTTTGTAGAGATTTGATTGATTGGTTACAGGATTTCATCATGAGCCGACATTGGTTAGAGAACCATTAGAATACCTGGGAGTACTGGACAGCTGTTTCGTCCTACTTTGGGACTCTTCACAGTACGAACCCACCACAGAAGTTCGAACCCAGGACCTCCCGGTTACAAGGCGAGCTCGTAGACCATTAAGCCACTGGGACCCGGTCCAATGGCCGGTCCATGAATTCTAACTTCTGCCAATACACGACATAGTGCGACCGCTTGCCAACGTCTTCGGTGAGTACTTGTCCTCAGACCCAACCCGCTGCACCCTACTGGTCACTGCTTCCCATTAGAACCCCAGGTAACTACCTACCTGAATAGGACCAGTCGCCCGTTAGCATCTCATCGATATTCAAGTATTAGTCGTGTATTGGCAAAAGTTAGAATTCATGGACCGGCCATTGGATCGGGTCCCAGTGGCTTAATGGTCTACGAGCTCGCCTTGTAACCGGGAGGTCCTGGGTTCGAACCCCTGTGGTGGGTGTGTACTGATAAAGAGTCCCAAAGTAGGACGAAACAGCTGTCCAGTACTCCCAGATTTACCAATTTTTTGCTAGCTAATGCCAGCTCATGATGAAATCCTGTAACCAACCATTATCAACAGTTCGATATTGGACCACCTGGTCCAGACCAACCACAAAGCTGGCATTGAGGAATGCTCTTCTATCACCATCTACCGAGTACCAAATAAATTGCCAAAAGCATCCAGGTACCGAATACTCCAAACAGCAGAGGCTACTGAGATTTGCCTAAAACAACCGGTGATCTGTGCTCAGAAGGAACGGGTCCAGCCAATATCAATACCCTGCTCTTCCATCGAGCCTATAAATTCATGAATCTGTATTATTATTTTTCCAAATTTGTCTGATATTCAATGTAGTGTCATGTTGGTGGATATTATCACATTCACAGGTGCTAATGAACTGTAATCCATTAAAATTATTGATTCTATGTAATTTAAAACAGCATTAATGTTGCTAATAAACCTAATTTTTCCATTATTATTATTAGTTGTAGTAGTATTAGTATTATGGATGCATATAACTGTAGGACCTGATGAAGAAGAAGTCATCGAAAAGAATATTCTTTGTTCAGCAATCAATCTTTTAAGAATTAAAATAAACTATCGGTAGGAAACCGTTCATTGTTTATTTTTTTTCCATTCCTTCAGGCTTTTGGATTTTGAGTGGATTATGCGGAAAGCCTTGCAGCAGGGGGAGAGGCGTTGAGAAAATAGTAAGATTCTAGGGGACTTAGATTTCACCTGGACGATTTTTGTTTATTGTCACAAACAAACTTGAAGATTTGCAGGCAAAAAAACCAACAAATTCGCAGAAGAGGCAGGCAGCAAAGATAGGACTTCAAGCAGATATAGAAAAGACAGTGGTGATGAAGATAACCAACCAATAATAACAACAAAAACAAGTACCAATCAGTATCAACGGAAGAAAAAGGTCACTTCCTTCACTAATCTGACTAGATACCTTCATTTCAACTACAGGCACCAATGAAGATGTCAAATGGGAGTCAGGATAGGAAAGGCAAGACAGGCCTGCATCACTCTGAAGTCAGTGCGCATATCTGCACTGCAGTCAGAATAAAGAACGTGATTCGGACTTTCAAAACCCTTCTCAAGTCGATCAGTGCTTCTATATACATCAGAAACTTGACGTACGCGTCACTGATGAGAGCCTTTCCAAAAGGCCAATGCGTACTTTAACCAGCCAATACTAGCTTCGCCCATTACTGAAGATTAGACGGCCAGTTGGTCAGAAAAGAAAAATAAGTACGTAACAAGAAACTCTGGCGGCGAATGAACCAACCAAGAACCTATTGCCCAGCTAACAAATACTCTGAAGGAAATAGAGATGGATGGATGGATCAGACATACACTGAGGCAACCGTTGGGTGACATCGTGCACGAAACTGTCGCTCAAGTGAAGCCAAATGGTGAACGAATAGTTTGGCATGGCTCCAAAGGTGACGTGGAGGAGATCGTGTCGTAATCAGGGGTTTAAAGCTTATGGGCAATCCGGGATCGAACGCAGCCCACTTAGGTGGTACAACTGAACCACTGGCGCATATGGTAGAGACTAGGCTGGATCGACATTATCTCCAATTTTACACTAACCCTTCCCACCCCTCCCTCACGTTGATATCTAGCTGACCTGAAATGAAACCTTATAAACTCTTTTTTAATCTAATCATCAGCTAACACAAAAGCCATTTCAAACATTTTATGTCA